CTGGGGGCTCGAATTCCGTCGTCGAGGCACGATGCAACCTGCACCCTGCTTACGGCCAATTTTCTCCAAGTTGAACATGATCCTACGCCATACAAGGGACGCTTTGCCGCATGCTTTCGCTCACGCCCGCCACAGACGTAAACAGTTCTCTTTTTAGTTAGCAGTTCTTCAGCACTGGTCAACGGCTCGCCCTAATCCATACCTGGTGGGCTTCCAGCAACGCTAACCGACGCTATCCCACTTACCAGCAAGCTCGCCTGACGTGCTCCCCGATATTCACACTTGACCATATTCATGACAAACTTGCCCAATCTAGCCCACGAATATTGGCAGGCTTCTTTCTGGCCACTGAAGGGGTCAGCGCTAGCCCAAAGGGGGCTCTCTGCAGCTGCAGGCTGCATGTATTGGTGTAGGTGTAAATCCCAACCAGAACCCACAAGCTTCAGGGCAACGTACGACTCGAGACTCGACCCAAGGCATGTTCAGTCGTGATCACCACTCGCTTATCCCTACAGTTGCAATTTGATCTCGGGTATGCGCAGTCTATCAGCGAGGCCTGAGACCGCATGCTCACCTCAATCTCCCTTGAGGGCATACGCGCCCAATCACCGCACATGTTACCACGCAGGTGCTGAAATAAACTTTCTCACCCGTAGCACTTTTACACTCCCACCGGTCTCGACAACGTCCGTACTACTGGCCCCAATTTGGACGAAACTGGAACATTCTCACTGAATGACAGTTAATCGTGCAAAAAAGTATCGCATCTCAAATCTCACACCCATATGGCCGCCCCCCTTTTGTTCTCCCGCCATCCGCCAGTACCTTCCCCGCGAGAAGCTCAAGTTTAGAGAAAATGGACGGATCATTGGATGTTGGCGCTGTCGCGTCTCGCGTCCCGTGCTTCCAAAGAAGGGCTTTTCTTTGTTCTCATTCTTTCCCCAACCCGCATTCTCAAACAGACTTCGGATGTAAATGGAACGCCTCTATCCGCGCCACACGGCGCGTTCCTCCAATACCTCGAGCAAATCCATCAGTCATCCAACTTGACTGACTCGGAAAAAGAGGATGGTATCCCCTTTTTTTGCCTCTCTTCTTTTTCACGCCCCCTCCTCTGTGTCCAATGAACCCGACCAACTGTGTTTTTGCTTCCGGAGAAACTAACCCATGTCCTGCTTGAGACGGCACATCCGTTCATCCAAACGCAGCAACAGCGGACAGGCGTAGGCCAGTATGCCAATGCCGTAACATGGGGAGCATACGAAACCAACCCCTCCCCCCCCCTCTTCTAATACACAAACACATACGCACACAAATGAGAAGAGAGAGAATGAGGAGCCACATCACATTTGCCAAGTGGATGTTCTGAGCGCCCAGGCCCCCCTCGTTCTCGGCCTAACACACGGAACTGTGGGTAATTAACCCGAGAATTATACAATCTCCCCCAGCATCGCAAGTGGCGCACTTCAATGATTCGTGCCCTGCCATAGCCGCATCTGCTGTCTGTGGGTCAGTCATTTTTTGGAAATCCAGTTGTTGGCTTGTAATTAACCCTTAGGACAGACGAGTCCGGCAGCGGGAGGGGAGACAAGGGCTCCACCGCGAACAAAGACATACTTCCGCGGGCAGGGTCCTTTTTCAGCCCCCTACTCCGCTTCTCTCCCTACCTGGTTTCCCCGCCCCGCTACCTTTAGGCCGAAGATCTTTGCCTCTTCGCCGGAGGCTACCCGAGGGACGTCCAGTTGCAGAACGGACGCTGATCACTCTTGGGAGGAGCTGTGTTCTCCGTGTAATTCCCTTCTAGGCTCCGTCTACCACTACCTCGTCTTATACGCTTGCATACGTTTGGAGTGCGACAACTGGCACAAATTGCTCATCAGCCTCCTCCTTGTGACCCAAGTTTTTATTAAAGGAATCTTTGGAATCATTGTCGTCACGAGCTGGTGACCACAGAGGAGGCAGTCAAACAGGATAGGCCAGGACACATGTGAAGTTACGCGCGGGCGCGGCCAGCTATCGAACCAAGCCCCGATATGGCTACTACGACATCTTGAGAGGAGAGCCTTTTTTTCGGATAGAGATCAATGACAAATCCACCCGCCCACATCTTGCTTTCTCTGCCATCTTCCGTGTCCGACTTGGCTCATTTCGTTTCCTAGACCCTCCCGGAGTATGTTCCGTGGGTGATGGGAGGAACGAGTTCGACACACCCCCTCCCCCCTTAGACCAGAGCGTTTGGGCCGCCTCAATTCCATCAACTGCATCTCGTCCCAATTCTTTTTGCCCTTCCTTTGCACGCTGCCAACGCTCGCACACCCGTCGACGGTGCTGTTGGTGCTGTTGCTGGCGCTGACTTTCCCCATGTTGGTGCCCGGCTTGTGGCTATCCCGGCAGCGCTCTGATGGTTAGTTCGCTAGCTGATGAGCTGGACTCATCTAGCGGACGATTGTAGCGTCGTTGGTTCTTCTTCGTTGGCATCAGGAAACTCAATGGCGTAGGAGGTTAGTGGACGCCCCTATTCAGAGACGGTGCCGCCTTACTTGATTTAGAGGGGAGTGTGAGGGCAAAAACACGACATTGCCTTCCGGTGTCGATGGGGTGAGAACAGAGAAAGAGGAAGGGGGGGAAGGAGCAGAGAAGAAAAAGGCGCCGGCGTCATGCGGTAAGACTGGCGGGAAGACAAGATGGACAGAAGGCTAGGGAAAGCCTTCAAGACCAAGGACGACACGACACGATACACGAGCCAGACACGCACGACGCGCGTAGGATTCATGCATGTTCCTTTTCCACGCCCCCATCTGTTCGGCCTTCTCATGTATGCTCGCCCCTTCGTGTCATCTGGTCTTGCCCGTGAGAAAGGAGAGGCCAGAGGGTGGCGGGGGAAGAAAAAGTGGCTGACTGGCTCCATTGCATCACGGACTTCACTTGCAAGGAGGACAGAAAGGAGGGGAAAAGTAAGGTCACGGTTCCTGCAGTACACGTAGCCTACCCAGCCACTTAGCGTAGCTGCTGCGGCAGCAGTAGCACATGTGCCCGTTCGAGCGTCTCTTCTTCTGGTGATCATACGGTGATGTAGAGGATGGCTGTGACTGAAGCCGTCAGATGGCTGGAGTGCTCGTGCCGTGCATGACGGCCGCACACTTCGGCGTCGGAGATGGCACAGATGACACTACTCGTGAACCAGTCATCCAATCTTGTGGCTGTTCTGTACTTGGTTACTGACGCGGACAGCGCAGAATCACTTGGCTATGGAATCACTTGGCTGTGTACAGACATCACGAGATGGGGGACCAGAGAGGGGGGAAAAGTTAAAGGGGAATAGAGAAAGTAGACAGACAAGCTGGGCGGGCAGCAAAGGCCGAGGAGTAGTTGAACTCGGGGTAGTTTGGAAATGCATGTGGGTGCAGTTGCATACATGCTTCCATTACCGGCTTGTTCTCCTCCGAACCTCACCCGTCCGCCTTGCGCTTGGAATGCTCAAAACGGCCGGGCAGCTAACAAAGTGTCGTGAAGCCAAAGGGAAGAAGGGGAGAGGGAGGGGATGTCATCCCACGTCTAGCAGATCCGGGGTCAGTTCCCCCCTCGCCCTCTTCCACGCCGTTGCAAAGACGAAGACAAGGGAGTGGCGCTCGCTGTCGGTTTTGCCGGTAGTTTGCTTGCTCGTTCGTTCGTTCGACCTACTGTCTGTGATCGTATACCGGTCGTCGTCCGTCGCGGTGCCGTCGGTGAGCTACGGACGCGTAGTCTGCGCGCTTGTAGATGTCAAACTGACGACGTCTGAGACCCCTTAAAAAAAATAAAGTTGAAACAGAAATAAGAAGAAAAAAATGCCATTGTGGAATGGTGAAAAGAGAATGAAATACATGTAGAACGTTACAACGAAGAATCTCGGTCAATTGTAAAATATGTTGTTATTGGGGTGAGAACGGACGGGGCAGATTGTGGAGGTTTCCTCCTGGAAAATTGAGAGGAGAGTTGGAATATGAATGAATGATTGACGCTTGTTTGCGATGTGATGTCGCGAGAAGAGAAGAAGGACAAAATGAATAGGAGGAAAAAGACCAAACGCAGAAACACGGGAGACAATCATCAGCAACTGTGTTCTCGATTAATAGATAGGATAAGAATGTAGGCATTTGTAGAAACGTTATGCTTGTTCAATGGATATACTGGATAACCAGTCCACGAGTTCAAGGGAGTTGTGACTGATGACGCCAATTATAGAGTAAGGAGAAAAAACATGTGCGACATTGCGATCGTGTCTAGGTTATCATCGAGATCCGAGATGTGATATATGACAAGAGGAAGGAAATCGTAAAGGAGAACGACAACTAATAGCCAACGTAAACATCAAAAGTCCCTTCCCCAGCGTTCATCACCAAGTCAAACAGGTCAAGAGTTCGGCAAAGGTCAAAGACATCGACGCGTCAACCTCATCACTGGCATCAGCAAATGGCACCTCATTCGCATCAAAACTTATTATCTGTCGTTGGATGATTGTCCTATTACTACCTGAGTGGCGTGCCGCCCTTTTGAGGGAGCCTTGCCTGGTATACAGTCATCTACGAATACCTCTGTTAGTTGAGCTCTCAACTTCAGAGCCATTCCCAATCTTTGCTCGTGGTAAGAGCGTCAAAAGTCACTGGACCCAACGGAGGGTCTCTAATGCTACTCCTCTTTGACATCCTTCGTCGTGGTCGTCCTCGTTCCCTCTTTAATTTTTGTTCAACCTGATCCACGTTTTTTGACCATGCCTCAAGAAATAATCGCAAACACCCAAAGCCGTTGTGGGCCAAATAAAAAGATAAACACACAAGGAAAATGAATAGAAGTCATGGAAAAGATACCAGACTGGAAAGACACGTTTTGCGTGACCATGGTACCTCGAATCTAAAACCCCGCCGTCTACTTGAACGCCGATTTTGCATGGAATTGCGCAATATGCCGCCGCATGGATTATCAATCACCTCGCCTTTGGAAAAGTCCGCTCGGCGAAGTGCTTACCAGCGTCGGCCGCCGCCAAGGGGTGCGTTGTTGGCGTTGTCTATTCATCTTGTTAGCATCATCACCGACGACAGTTGACGGATTTCGACATACTTCTACCACCGCCACCACCACGGCCACGGCCCCAGCCGCCGTAGCGACCGCCGCCGCCGCCTCCGAAGCGGGTCATCTCAGCAAGACGAGGGTCGATCTCCTGGCGCGCTTCTCTCAGCACGTTGACAAGGTCACGAGCCTGCTTGGAGTCTGTTGAGATGTTAGCACGAGCGACGCAGATACGGAAGAAGGGGGGGAAACTGACTGTCAGTGGTGAACAGGGTGATGGCAGTACCCTTGGCGCCAGCACGACCAGTACGACCAATACGATGGATGTAATCCTCCGAGTTGTTGGGGTAGTCGTAGTTAAGCACGTGAGTAATGTTGCGAACATCTTGTCAAAAGGGTTAGCAGTCGCCTCACGATGAGTATAGCAACGTTCCAGCATGGAACCAGGTATTCTTGATAATTATATCAGGCTGTCTTTCACTCTGTCGAAGACAGGGCAGTCTGTATGCGTCAAATGCCATCCTGGAAAGTTCAGTGTACCGGGTCCTCGGGCTAGGGGAATCTTGGGGACAGCTTGATCGAATCAAGAAATGCCACATCCACACTTGTACCATTGGCATAAGGGAGGCACAAGAGTGGTAGAGCGAGTATAGCAAGTCAACGGCTACACACCAGACCAAGACTCCGCACACAGGCAGAGAGAACCAAGGAGACACGAATGCATCAGGCAATATTGCGCAACTAAGAGAGCCCCTAGACATAAGAGTAAAGCACAGCACGAGGCTGCTGGAAGTTGCCATGAGGGTGGGGGGATTTTGATACTCACCAATACCACGCGACGCGACGTCGGTAGCCACCATAATAGGGCTCTTGCCCGTCTTGAACTGGTCCAGGACCCAGTCACGCTCGTTCTGTTGCTTGTCACCGTGGATGGCTGCCATGTTGTTAGCTTGGTCGCACGAAGGTGGCAGGGGATAACCAGGGGGTAAACATACACAGGGCGGGCCAACCGTCCTGGCGAAGGAAGCGGGTAATGTCGTCAGCAACACGCTTGGTGCCGACGAAGATGAGGATCTTGTTCTCCTTGTTGTCCATGACCTTCTCGAGATGCTTGATCATGCGATCACGCTTCTCACTTTCGGACACAACCTCGACAATCTGGGTGATGCGATGGTTGGCAGCCAACTCCATGGAGCCGATGTTGACTTGGATGAAATCGGTAAGGAAGTCGGAGGCAAGAGCGCGGACCTCCTTGGGCCAGGTAGCAGACCACATGAGAGTCTGACGGTCAGGGCGAATCTGACCAATGATCTTGCGAATCTGAGGCTCAAAACCCATGTCCAGCATGCGATCAGCCTCGTCGAGGACCAAGTAAGTCACTCTGCGCAGGTTGGTCTTGCCAGCCTCGAGCATGTCAATGAGACGACCAGGGGTGGCGATGCAGACCTCGACACCGCGAGAGAGATCGCGGATCTGCGGGCCCTTGGGAACACCACCGTAGACGCAGGTGTTGCGAATGCGGGAAGACTTTCCAAACTTGGAAATTTCTTGTTGAATCTGGACCGCGAGCTCACGAGTAGGGGCAAGGATGAGGACGATGGGGCCATCGCCGGGGGCCAGCAAAGGCTGGGCGTTGATGTGGACAATGGCGGGCAGGCAGTAAGTCAGGGTCTTTCCGGAACCTGTCTCGGCAATACCGACGACATCGCGACCGGAAAGAGCCATGGGCCAGCCCTGGGATTGAATAGCAGTCGGGGCAGGGAATCCCTGAGCCTTGACTTCGTCCATGACGTATCTAGGGAAACCAGCCTCATCGAAAGTCTCGACAGGCTTGGGGACATCGGTGCCGGCAATGGTGATCTGGTGCTTGCGGCGGAAAGAGTCGACATCGGCCGGGCTGCGGTTGGCAACCTCTTCGTGCTCCTTGTAGAAAGACTTCTCGAACTTGGGGAGGGCGTTGAGGTCTGTTGAACTACAGTTAGCTAAATGTTTCACAATGCCATCTCGTGTCGAATACTCACCCCATTCTTGCTGGCGAAGACCGGCACCAAGGTTGTTCATGCGGTCACCGCCACCGCCGTAACCACCACCGCCGCCGTAGCCGTTGCTAAATCATCGTCAGTAAAAGAAGAAGAAGAGTTTTCGACGTCGGAAATGCTCGAGTCCGCATGCTGTAGTACTGAGGGATGCCTCAGATCGGTTTGAGGGCACCGTCACATCATCGTGTGGTGCCAAGGCCCGACAGCCTCATCTTGCAAACCGACGCCGTTGGGAAGAATCAATCAAACACATACCCGTTGGAGTAGCCACCGCCGTAACCGCCATCGCGATCACCTCTGTCACCGCGATCACGGTGACCGCCGTAACCACCTCCGCGACCTCCTCTGTAGCCGCCCTCGTGGCCACCACCACCACCGTATCCGCCGCCGTAGGACATGTTTACTAGAGGCAGAGAACGCGCAAGAAGCTTTTGGTCGTTGGGTTCGCTGTTTTGAGCGATGTCAAAGGCAGAAAGAAAGACTGTGGATAGGAAGAGCACGCAGGTTAGGCCCTTTTCTGGAATGAACCGAAAAGAGTGTTGTTTGCGCGAGATGGGGGGGATTGTGAGATGGGAGAGAGGGATGCAAAGGAAGAGGGAGAAAAAAAAATAAGAGGAGGACGGATGGGAGGTTTTGGGTGCGCAAGGCGTTTGGCTGGGGTAGGAATTTTTTTTTCCTCGCCGCCAAACTTTTCATAGCAGGCAGGCGCTGCTTGTAGGGACCTTGCTAAGGCGAAAAGGATACGTACCGTCGGGGTCCCCTTCGTAGCAGCTGCACGTGGACCCGCTTTATCTTATCTGACCGATAAGATAGTGGGTATGACTCGCGATAAGACACCTCAACACTTTGCAACATTTGCCAATGACTCTCGCCTCGCTCAGTCTCTCACCCTGTTGTTTTGGACGGCGTCTCCAATTGAACATATACTGGATTTTGTGCTGCGGATACCGCTGCAAGGTTGACTTGAGCCGGCAAGTCAGGTTACATACATCAGGGATTAAAGGGGGGGTTGCTCTTTATCTTTGTGAATGTGTTTGGCCTCAATAGTGCTACGGCATGTATACCCAAACCGGGCTGTCAATGGAAAGCAGAGCAAGTTGCTTCGGATGACTGAATTGAAGTTCCTACACTGCTAAATTCAAGGCTCTTGGCTCTCTGCTCAACTTCCATTGATCCGGCTGGTCTATTTTTTTTGCAAGGCGTCGTGTGTGTGAGGCTGTTTGGGCCTTCGAATGATGACGGCTGACCAGGTCAACTGCAAGCGAGGTGTTTGAACAACCACGTCGGAAAATTTGTCATTGACGTTTTGGATTTGTGTACCCCATCTACCTCTTTGTTGTAAAGCCTCTCTCTATATACTCTGCGCATTCCTACCAAACACCCATCCTAGTCGGACCATCACCGAGACGGGAACATCTCCCAGAAGCCAATCTCCATCTGTTGCACAGTCAGCTATCGGTTTGAGGCTCGGTTTGTGAAACCTACCTTGGTTGCGTGGATAAAGACATTTACCAGCCGCTCTATGCTTGAAGGACTCTGCAGAACAGCGTGTCTCTCAATCAACTCTGAACCGGTCTTAACAGCTTGGACGTAATCATCAGCAACGTAGTTCTCGATCCACTTCCAGTACGTATTCTCGTCGCGTTTCGTCTTGACATCGCCGTGAAGCTGCTTAGCAACGGCACCGTATCCGAGTAGACAAGGAGCCAACGCCATCTGCAGGCCGATCCAGTCCTCGCTCTGGCCAACATCGAGCACGTAGCGAGTGTACGCGGTACAAGCTACGTTCTGTCAATACCAATTCAGAAGCCGGTGTTGGTGCCTCGGATACTGACCTTGGTGTTCTTCGGTGGCCTCAATCTCGGGAACTGTGATGCCGAAGCCCTTGCAGTAATCGATGTGGAGAGTCATCTCGCGGGCAATGTGGTTGACAATGTTAGCCCCCTATGACCTTGTTAGTTGCCGTACCGAGTATGGTAATATTCTATGCTCACAGCCGAAATGTCTTCAATGCTTTTTGCCTTGTAGGAGGCCAGGGCATTAGCTCTGGCGAAATGAACCTTGACATCTGTCAGCACAAATACAACCAACAGGGTGCTTGAGACAGACCAGGTAGAGGTAGTCCTGAATGAGGTACTTCTTGAAAGACTCGATCGGGAGCGTTCCGTCTCCCATAGCCATGACAAAGGGGTGGTAGACAAATGTCCGCCAAACATCCTTGACATCCGGTCTCTCCAGCATATATTCGATGAACCGCCCAGGAGCAAACGGAAGAGTTTGTATAGAGTGGAAATGGTTCAGCGGACCGTGGCCCTTGCCGTATCCTGGCGCCGTTTTGATAGCAGCCTCAATGTACCGGCAAGCTGACTTTGTAGCTTCAGGCACACCAAGACCTTTCGCCAAGTTCGATGCAATAGCGGCTGCGACAGATCAGTATCTGCACCTCGAAGTCATAGAAGCGACTAACAAGCGAGCGAACAACCAGTCCCATGCGTGTTTGTCGAACTCTGATAGGGGCTCTGGATCCGCATAAACTCTCCATGTCCATAGAGCACATCAACAACAACTCCCTTCTCTTCCTCGGTGTTGGCAACGGTGAGGTCAGCCTTGAACGGTGAGTGCCCGCCCTTGACGAGAACCCATTCTGGGCCGAGCGCGTGAACTTCCTTGGCCATCGTCTCGAGATCCTCGACGCTGGTGACCTCAATCGCTTTTCGCCCTGCGTCTTCGAGGAGAAGCTTTGCCTCGGGGATGTTGGGCGTTAGGACGGTGGTCAGCTTCAGCAAGCCCTCGAGCAACTCTGCAACGGCTTCGCGGGGAAGGAGCTGAGCCCCGCTGGTTGCGATCATTACCTGTTATTTGTTAAGCAACCGGTTTTTAGGAGGGTGGAGAGGAGGCAGCTTTTACCGGATCGACGACCACTTTGGGTATGTTGTGTCTCTTCAAAGCCTCAACGACAGTGCCTATCGTGGCAGGAGAAGCCAGCATGCCTGTTCCGCGGTGTAAGAAAATCGCCAAATGTTATGGAAAACGTGTTTCTCTGACCAGTCTTGACGACATCCACACCAATGTCATTGACACAAGCATCGATTTGCTTCACCAGGAAGTCCTGCGGCACGTGGTGAATATCATGTACACCTGTGGTGTCTTGAGCCGTCAGGGCAGTCGTGGCAGTCATGGAATAGCAGCCATGCGCCGCAATGACCTTCTGGTCTGCCTCTAGGCCGCTGCGAATAGTGTTAATTCAATTTGCCCACAAGAAGAGAGGCCCACGAGTGATTACTCACGCTCCGCCGGAGCAGTCAGACCCAGCAATGACTAGGACTCGTCCCGAAACCATGGTAGCGTCCTACTAGAAAAAACTCAGAAGGGTCAAACTTCCACACTGGCACTGGTGTCAGAAGGCTGATAATGACGAGATTTGCGTTCTTAGAGCGAGTGCGACTTGTAGGTCCGGAGCAGCCTACCGTTAGGACGGTTGACGTCGGACCAGGGCCATGGTTCGTACTAGATGGTCACTCAAGGTGGGGGCGGGGCCACCCTCACTCAGGTTTTTATTGAGATAAGGCGCGCCATAACATTCAGTTCCCTTCCGCCGCGCCTTACAAAAGCGCCTTATCACGAAATCTTTTCAAGTAAAACCTTCCTAGCAAACTTCTTGGCGTAACACACGACCTTTTGCCTGAGATGAGGGCAATTGACTTTTAAGATTGTCCTTACTATACCGACACCTTACTCCCCCGGGAATCGATATACAGACGGCCGCCCGACTCCATCCTATCCATAGCTCGCTCCCAGAAATACCAATTCGTGACTCCCCAAGGAGTTCTTTTTTGCTGCTGGCCAAAATCTCGGCCAAAAATGAGTGAGATATCCATCCCAGAGTCCCCGAGATATAATACAAAAAAAGACCAACAGCAATAAAACGCCTCATCATGGTCCCTGACGTGTCTTGAAAACCTCCTCTCTTCTTCTGTCCCAATATGCGAAGTCATCCATGAAATTGTGCGGCCATGATACAACAACATGGCCCTACGCAGTCTCGACCGAATCATCTGTTTCGACCGAGCTATGGCTGTCCGACCGATCCGTCCTTGTCGCAGGAGTTTCCTTCTCTAGCTCGGACGGATCCGAGATGCTTCTCTGTCTCTCGGTGCGATTCTCGTCTCCAGACGAAGACACATTCTCCCCAGCCTCATTTTCCTCCCCTCCCTCCTCCTCCTCCTCCTCTCTGTCGTCGTCATCTTCGTCATCGTCATCGTCGCTGTCGCTGTCTTGGTCAAACACGATTCGTCGGAGCACGCTCTTGTCGAACATTTCAATTACCATTCGCCTGATCGGCAGACGATAATGGTTATATTCAAGCATCGTCATCACGCGCTTGAACATCTTGGGACATCTGAAGCCTGCCACCTTATGCTGCCTGATTTGCATCAAATCGCCCATAGCGCGTTTGTAGAGAACCATGTTGCCGAGATCAACAACGAGGTCAAGGATTCGCTGATTGATGGCGGCTTCGTCAGCAAAGGATGGCAACTCCTCCTTTTCCAGAGGTGGACGAGCCTCGGTAGGAGGCGGCGGGGTTAAGAAAGTCTTTTGTGTATCGGGCAATGCGATCTTGGATGCAATGGCGTGCTTCCATGGCTTGAACGAGAAGAACTTGGTCAAGTTATTTGGAATGCAGAAGCCCAACGATTCTCCTCTGGGTGATAGATTGGAGTCCCATCCGCATTCCGATAGTATCTCCAGGCCATGAGCGGACCTAGAAATCAGACCAAGCACAAAGAAAGCCGTGCCTCTCAGGCTCATCACCTCATGCTCTTCTGCAATCTTGATGATGTCCTCGACGACATCGCAAGACTCGATGAAGGGCGCCCCCAACTCCATTGAGCCGACGTTGCCAACCGCCCACATAGATGCTTTGACTTTAAGCATAAGCTCGGGGTCTTCCGATTGCATTCCGTATTCTTTAATCGTGCTGGCGAATTCCGCAAAGTGCCCTTTATCGCTGAGAAGCTTGCAGCCTTCCTCTGTTCGGGCAAGCTCTCGGTAGAAATGCGGGGGAATATGGTTCTCCGGTTCGGCTTCAGCATGGGCCTCATCCACCATGTTTAGCCGATTCTGGTGTTCCTCGGGGTTCTCGAGGAATGCCTTGGCCAGGCTGGTTTCTATAACCCCAACATACGAGTCGTTCCGACCCAGAAACCAGTCATCCATTTCGTTGCTAATGTAGTCAACTCCGTCGAGGTAGTGGTAGCCAATAGAGGACGACAAAAATCGAAGGAGGAGAGGGGCGCCAATTTCGCCCAGGTGGTCCATAGTCGGACGGCATTGAACAACGTACTCCAGGTATGCCTTCTTATTGCACGCCTTCTCGAGGATCTTAACCGCGGTCCGACACACTTCCACCTCGGGGTCGTACAGCTGATCGACCAACTTCTCAATCGCCCATTTCCAGTCCACCTTGCCGTGGGATGGCTGTGCTGCATCGAATGGCCGAGTAGCATACTTTCGGAGGACGTTCGTTGCTATAATGCGTATTTCCCTCGTTCCGGAGGTCAGTGCCTGTTCGATAAGTACCCGGTGATGCCCTGGTATGCTGTAGTCGAAGTTGGATAAAAGCAGCTTGATCAGATCAGGGCGCTGCTTGTGTCCGAGGATATGATACATCATGTTGAACATTCGCCAGCGCTGAAGGAGCTCTAGACCTTTAGGGTCGCCGCTGAGTACCCCCAACATGGGGAAATATCCGGCACAAAGAGTACTCTGGAGGCGACCTGGCGAGAACATGGGGTCTGCTGACGTGAGCCCACTGCTCTGTATTGTGCGTTAGTCTTTGTCCCTGGCTTTGCCGTAACCGCTGCACTTACCGGGTCGCATTGCGCAAGGCACTCAGCAATCTGTCTAAGCAGTTTGTGGTCTTGCAGGTAGTCGACGCCTTCTGGGGACTGAAGCAGAGTGTGCATGAGTGCACAGCCAACTCTGACGTACTTCTGGGTGTTCTTGTTGCTTGTCAGATCTGAGAATCGATGCTTAAAGGGCCTATAGAAACTCATGATCCTGTTCATAAACTTGGAGACCCTGTTCACTTCGTCCAGGCGTTTACCATCATGGAGGGGGCCGTCAATTATTCGTGAAATGACATCCCAGTTCCACTTCATGTAGTTGGAGCTGTTCAAGACGTTAGACTCGACTAGAAGCTGTCGGATTGCGCCCTCTTGAACCACAATTCCGGCGTTGCTTTTGCGGTGCATATCGGCAAGGTTCCCCATACTGTCGTTCGAGGGCAGAGTGCCAGCAGTCGCGGATGACGACGAACTCCTATAAAGCGTCTTGCTCACTGAGCTGATTTGATAGACTATGCCCGAGGCAATGAATCTATTGTCATCGTTGAACTGAGTGGCCGCGGCAAACAGGTCCGGAAGCAGAGGCAAATCGTTGCTCCATGACGAAGGAAGGAGTCTGCTTGCCAATTTGAGCACCTCACCGATGAGGAGACAAGTCTTTCTTGTCAGCGCAGGCTCGCTGGTTTTAGCGACCTGGAGCAAATTTTCGAGCAGGCCGGCCTTGACGAAAGTTGCGAGGAGAAGAGCTGTGTAGTGATCCATGAAGTTTTGCTCCCCGTTGTCGTCCTCCTGCGGTATCGAATTTGATAGTGGCGTTTGTTGGTTTGGCATGGATTTGAGGCTGGCAACCCGTCCATAGGTCGTCAATCGGCGGCCAGCAAGGAACGAAGAGGCCCACGATGGTGATTTGATCCGAAGCAGCAGGTAAACGAGATCAATCACGGTCTCCCGAATAGATGGTTGTGGAAGAACCATACTCGTAAGCAAGGACTTGATAGCCCGGGAGTCATGCATAGTAAGTATCATGAGGCCTGGCCAACTCTTCAAAATCTTGGTGATGGCTTTAGAGTTTTGCTTCAATAGGCTCTCGTTGGCGAGGATGATATCTGTAAAGGCCGTAAAAAGGACCTCCAGGTCATAGCCGGAGCGCAGGTAAATCCTCTTTTGCGGGTTGTCCAGAATCTGCAGGTAAGAGGCTGTGAGCGTTTCTGGTGATTTGTAGGTTCCTTCGATCAGCGCCTCTGACAGAGGCGACAAACCGCCAGATGCTACTGCCAGGGCCGGATCGCGGAGCATGATCTCAGCCAAGGTCTCTAGGCAAATTGACCGTAAGCGGTCCTCAGCTTGCTCTGCGACTGCCGCTATTGTGCGTACAACAGCTCTTGAAATCTCCTTGGCTCCATCCTTGACGTCCAAAAAGGCGCGGACAAACTTGAGAGCTTGTTCGCGCTCGAGGTCTGCCTTTCGGTCCTTAATAAGAGATCTATACCTTCGTCAGCCGTTTGCTCTGAATGAACCATAAGGGCATACTCACGTCACAACAATGATGTCGGTGTTTAAGCTGCGGATCTTCTTCAAGGAAGACACATCTGAGATGGCGTAGCGGACCATACGGTAGCCGGCAGCCACCACTTCCCTGGCCTCGCTGAGAAGCATGACTTGCATGCGTGAACCGAAAACAGACCACACCAGGTCGTACTTTAGGGTCGGATGCCTTCTGAACAAGTCCACAAGGCTGTTCCCTCGGCTGACGTAGTACTCCGGGGGCATGCCCTCTTGTTCCAGCGCCTGAAGCAGTTCAGCCAGGAGGAAGGTAGGCGATTGCTCGGCGGCATCTTCAGCGTCTGATCCTGCGCCGCTGCGCGACACACTAGGGGGCGAACGGAGGCCGTTACTGGAGATGAGGCCGTCGGCTCGTTGCCTCGTAGGCGTGGTGGGTGTGGCCTTTATTCTCTGGGCGTCTGCGATCTTTTGTCGCAAGATCTTGATTCTCTGGTTGGATGCATTGAGTTCAGCCTCGACTTTTGCTCTCTGCTCCTTAGTCTGCTTCGCCTTCTTCGCATTCAAGGCCTCTAGCATGTTCTCGCTGCCATCCTTGATCTTCATTTCGCGGTTCAGCTGTTCTCGGAGGTTGGCGAGCGTCTGCTCGGCGGCAGAGACGCCGTCATCCTCGTCGACCTTATCCATGGCGTATATATCGCCTCGTGAGCCTGAGCGCGAGGGCATCATCTGGCTGCGCAGCTCGGAACTGAAGCTTCCTGGGGCGATGGAAGGGTTGAGCGAGGAGCCTCGCGGGGCGAAGCTGACGCCAGAGGCGCCCAGACTCCTCGGGCCATTTGCAGATGCGAGAGGTGGCTGGAGGCCACCACCGCTGGGCTCCCGCTCGAAACTCGGCCTGGGATTGAGGGTATTGACACTGGACGCAGATTGCTGAGGCGGCAATGCCTTTTGAGACTGGGTTGCGGATGCGCCCAGCATGGCGGGTATACCTCTCTATGATACCACCTTTTTCCGGGGCCGCTCCCAAAGTCCTTGCATTCGGGCAACTGTTACTACGAAAAGTCTTGAAAAAGTTGTTTGGTGTATTCTGAGGCTGAGACCCGGAGGGGGATTTGGTCGGTTTCGTCCGCGCAGAGAGGACGGGACTATCGACAATCGTGGGGAGGGTTTCGCGACGTGGAAAATGGGGAATCAATTCGAAAGTCGGACGAGATGTGTATTTGGGTTGTTGGGTCGAATTGATGTGATAGGATCCGACTCGGGATGTGTGCCAGGAAGGCGGAGGTCCCGATCGTGAGCTGTTGGGTAGGCGGGTTGAAGTCGGTCGGTCGGCCACTTGGAGAGCCAAGGCAAGACCAGGGTGGAGATGTGATGGAGTTCAATACTGAGGGGATGCGCAAAGTGGTGTCGGCCGGCGAGCCTTGTCCGCTTGCGTGGCTCCGTCGGGAGGTGTTGGGAGACGAAGGGTGAGGTTGATCGTTGGCAGTGAGCGGTCCTCAGTTGGTGAAGAGATGGGGTCGTTGTAGTTTGTTGTAGCGTTGTGCGATGCCATGGGCATAACCGTCTGCCATTCACAGTGTTGTTGGGCCCAGCCTGTTGCCAGCTTCAGAAGTGGAGGAGCCACATGTGTCGGTGTTGCGCTCCAGAGTGGCCCAGTATGGTCGCGTGTGGGTGGTGTCCAGGGGGTAGATTGTTGAAGGTTGTGGTGCAGTGTCACAATGCTTGGTTCCAGTCGATTCGGGGCAGCTGTGGGAGGTGCAGTAGTGCAGTACCGCATGGTTTAAGTCCAAGGCCGGGTAGTGTCAGTGCTTCGATGGCGCCAACAATTGCAGAGACAGGGCCTGTTTACACCAAGGGACCTCCTACCTACAACGACACTGCTTAGCTGTGCCACTCTCAGCCCCGCTTCCTCTTTGCATCTCCTCCATACCAATGGAACATGGACCGGGCATTTTCTTCGTGGTGTGAAGTAGAGTACCATCCATGGCAAGGACAGTGGCAGTAGGGCTGCCCAAAAAACCAGTTCAATTATCGCTGTCAGCAAATGCAGCTGCTGTTTCTAGCAAAGGTTCAGCAAGCACCTGGCAGTGGTCTATAATTGTTCCCCCGGCCGCACGCCTTCACTGATGTCTATGTCCAACTATCTCTCTCACATTTCTATCACCGGTCTAGGGAGAAAAGTAACTCGACCCAAAATACTGATCCCTTTTAAACAGATCAATGAGACGCACTCACGGCACCCAGTTTGATGCGTTGATTCCTCCTGTCATCCCGTCAATTCCGTCGTTGGGGCATAAACCAAAATGGTGTTTTGTTATGCGATGTGTTCTTACTCATGGGAGAATCGGCCTAAATGGCCAATGATCCGAACCTGAGAAAGTCAAAAGAAAATTAGAATTGGAAAAAGGCATTTTTTTATATAAAGAGTCACAAAAAAAAAAAAAAAACGAATGATCGCCTCGCCTCTGGTTACCCAAACCAAAAGACATTTACAACGGTACAATGACTAAGGAGCAGACGCAGACGAAGGCTGAGAAGAGGGCAGCATATCAAGTGAGACTCTAGAACCATGGACCATCCTGCCCATGTTCCCGAGGAAAGCCCTTGCCGTCTGAAGCTTCTTGTGCCACAGCGTCGAATGTCATTGGCAATGCTGAAACACGGCCGGCTCCCATCCACAGTCATTCGATACCTCGGGAACATCCACCTGTGCGCGATAAGGATCCTCGCCAACGTGGCGGGCAATCGAGCCTTCAGCAACAAACGTGAACAGAATGATTTCTGTCAGGATCATGACGGGATCTGGTCTTCGGTCCTTCGGTCTTATATCCACACTACCGTAGAGGCGGGGGCCCGGATCCTATCGGCCGTCATACCATGTCACTTAGTCTCAATCTCACATCAGGTTCGGAGACGACGGCAGGCGGGCGGCCGGGTCCCTAGGAGCGAGACATGTGCTGAGAAGACCTTGCATGAGGTGGGGTTTGGGATCACTTTGGATGGACACAGCACGGTCAGGACTTCACATTTCGAATGTCTTACTGATAATGTAAAACAGTTGAGTTTCTTAACCTAGGGCGCCGCCGTCTTCCTAGACTTGAGCCGCCCAACATATTCAAACGTATAAGACGCTTCCTATCTTTATGTTACCTGAAAGCATCCCCATAACAAATCCCGAATATCCGCATACTTGTCGTTAATGGGGCTCTTGCAATAATTAAGGGTCTTGGATTGCCCCTCTCTCAATGGCCGAAAGGCTTTTGCTTCAGCCAAGCGTCGTCTGCCGTCCTCCCCAGGCGCAGAAAGCCGTAGGCATCTCCCACTAAGGCGGCTGCAAGCGGCGATGTGCCTGTATTGCTCCTCTAGGGACATCGGCGGGCTCCGGGTGCTCCACTCAACACCAATAAGACCATCTTACCCCACGGCTGCCGGACCCTATCAAGCGATCGGGTCAGTTCGGCCAGGTCATTGGGCCCCTTCAGGTCATTGGGGGCCGTTCCGTGGGGCTATCTAGCACCCCCTAAAAAAAAAAAAAAAAAGTGCCGACTCAGGACGCGACTACGCTATCTATCTCTGGGGTCTATCGTCCGTGGGCGACGTCCAACAAAGCTAAGGTGAGAGACCAAAGGAGCTCAACCTTGCGTGTCTGATATATAAACATACTTATCTGCCCCTCTTCAACCCTCTTGTCCATTCTGGTCTACTCCGTGCTACATCTCCAATATCATACCTTCTTCTCACAGCAGTTCCAAGTTTGTATCTTTATGGGCTCAAGTCCTTGCTCGATTTAAGCGGTATCGTCTTTGTTCTCATCTCATCTCCGTGATAAACACCTCCGCCCCCAAACACAATGCCTGCACTCGCATCCGCTCGCTACGGCAAGGACAATGTCCGCGTCTACAAGGTCCAGAAAGATGGCAATACCCAGACCGTCACCGAGATGACCGTCTGCTGCCTTCTTGAAGGTGACATCGACACGAGCTACACCGTCGCCGACAACAGCGTTGTCGTCGCCACCGACTCCATCAAGAACACCATCTACATCAAGGCCAAGGAGAACCCCATCAACCCTCCTGAGCTCTTCGCTTCTATTCTGGGAACCCACTTCCTCGAGAGGTACAAGCACATCCACGCTGCCAACATCAAGATCGTCCAGCACCGCTGGACCCGCATGGCCATTGATGGCAAGCCGCACCCTCATTCCTTTTACCGGGACGGCGAGGAGACCCGCAATGTCGAGGCCCGCATCTCCCGCAAGGAGGGCATCAACCTAACCAGCTCCATCCAGAAGCTCACCGTCTTGAAGAGCACCGGGTCCGCCTTCCACGGCTTCGTCCGCGACGAGTACACCACCCTCCCTGAGACCTGGGACCGCATCCTGTCGACCGACGTGGACGCCTCCTGGACCTGGAAGTTCGCCGACCTGGCCGCTGTCAAGGCCGCCGTGCCCAAGTTTGACCCCGCGTGGCAGGCCGCCCGTGAGATCACCATGAAGACCTTTGCGCAGGACGAGAGCGCGAGCGTGCAGAACACCATGTACAAGATGTGCGAGCAGATCCTCGCCGCCGTGCCCGAGGTCCTGACCGTGACCTACTCTCTCCCTAACAAGCACTACTTTGAGATCGACCTCGGCTGGCACAACGGGCTCAAGAACACAGGCAAGGACGCCGAGGTCTACGCTCCGCAGTCCGGCCCCAATGGTCTGATCAGGTGCGAGGTCGCCCGTAACAAGAAGGCGGTTGCCAAATTGTAAAGTCACCAGGTGAGAAAGGAGAGGTTTTGGTTGTACACACCACTCGAGGAGCCGTGGCGCTGCATTTATCCTGGCGTCTATACCATCTTTTATATTTGTTTTTATTTTTTCACATCTAGACGGATGTTTCTACTGTAATAACGAGCAACGACTTAGAGCAATATGAGATTAAATACCAAGTTCCAAGCCATTTGTTTTTGTCCAATTCGTGTATGTAAATGGTAGCGAATTTAGAGCTCTCCCTATGCCGCTGAGATTGATGTGTTTCTTTCAACATACACGTGAACTGGCCAGTCTTTTTTTCCCTTTGGCGATACGTGTACGCCCGTTCAAAAGGGCGCCGAACCTGGGAAGTGAAATCACGGGCACCCTCTTTAGAAGAAGAAGAAGAGCTTCTGATGTCTAGCCTTCTCTCCTTTTCATACAGCAACCTGCCAAATGCTGTTGGTAGCTAACGAATGTTTCCCTCTCGAAATGCGTGATGGTTGATCAACTTCAAATCAGCCAGGTAACCCAATAGCATCATGTTCTTCGTCACTTCACGGGATCCGCTTTCAGAACGTAAGTGACTTCTCTCATCTCAGAGACATAGCGTCCAGCACAACCAAGCCCCCGGCACTCCTTACTCAAAAGGCAGGTTCCACATGTCCACAACGCCCGTAACTCCATCACACCATGTTGAACGTAATCCGATTTGAGAATCATTAGACTTCCATTTTGAGATGCCCATATTCGTACAGAATATACACGCCGTCATGCGGCCAAACCACAACATACAACCCCTCTCCCCTCCCCTCGTTCGCTCTCCCCCTTATATCCTCTTCGAGCCTGCTTCCCTAATGGCTTGAACTTGCTCCTCCCACCCGTGCTGACCAACAGGAACGTCACCGAACCGGATAATGTTCTGCTTGTACGGGTGCGCCTCTCCCTCAAAGGCCTTGAGCCTCGCCAGCCTCTTGTCACGGAGCCTGTTCTTGGGCAGCATTCCGCTAACCGCCTTGCGCAGAACCTCGGCACCACCGTGCTTCTCCATCAGCACGTCCATCGTCACCTGCCGCAGGGATCCCGGGCGGGTGTTGTGTCGGTAGTACGTCTTCTGCCACTTCTTACGTCCCGTGACGTGCAGGGCCGCGCAGTCGGTCACGACGACGTAGTCGCCGCAGTCCGTTGACGGGTCCCAGGTCGGCTTGTGCTTGCCCATCAGCAGCACGGCGATGCGACTGGCCAGGCGGCCGAGGGAAGGGGGTGTGACGCCGGGCTGCGTGGAGAGAGTCTCGTGGGGGGCCGCAGCAGAGACATGGTGCCATACCCGGGAGTAGGAGAGTCGGGTCTATCGGAAAGGGATATTGTTAGCTGGGAACTGGTCTCCATGGCGGCGCAATTGGGAAAAGGGGCGGGTTAGGTAGAGCTTACCAGGCCGACAGTTTGCGACATCTTGAGAGTTCCTGGGCCGGCCGCCTCAGCTCAAGTTTCCAAACTTGACGCTTTTCCGGGACTTCGATTCGTTCAATTGGCAAGCGAGGAGAGGCAGCGAGCCAGCGGTCGGTCGTGTCGGGGCTCAAATGTCGTCGGTTCAACGCGGTCCAGACCTTCGTTAGAGGTTGATGCCATCCTCCATTCAATGACCTGAGCTTCCAAAATTTTGGAGACACGAGATCACGTGAACATACTCGTGACTGTTCGATAAGCACCGCCAATGTGGCTCATAAAAACCCAGCTGTCGGCAGCTGCGGAGACCGAATGCCGACGGCCGATTACGAAATGTTGCAGCTGAGGGGCACCAGGTGGCCCAGGCGTCTGCAGCGGGGCAATTATTGGGAAGAGAGCGATTGCGGTGCTCGATGTGGACTCTCTGCAAGTAAGTAAGGCGATTTCAAAGCAAAGGTCACTGCCGCGAACCCACGATACGGGTATTAAAAGCGCATCCAGTTTCCCATTGGATAGTGCGGCGATCCGTTGGAAGAGAATAGAACAAGCACAACCCGAGAAAACCAAAAGTGACTACAACCATCTTCCTCCTCACTCACCACATCGTTTCTGTTTTTAGGTGCCCCATCCCATCGGCAACTGCAGCAGACAGGGCAGAGCATGCTCTACTGTCTTTCTGATTTCCTGCACAACTATCGCTCTCTGTTACGAAGCCCGCACCAGCCAAGCAGAATACCTAAGAGACCATTCACCATGACCGTCTCATATCCTTTTCAGGTTCGTCTATCATTTGCCCTTTACCCTTTGCTCCGCTCGCCCGCGCAAATCCGCTCCATCCTTACTTTTTCCATGAAGGTAAAGGGACGAGGGAAAAAAAAAAAAAGAAAAACAAAGAGAAGAGCGGTTACATGGCAATGTTCCGTCCACCGTACGGAGACGGATCTTCCAACATTCTCGTTTCCATTTGTCTCTGTTAATTCTTATTGTCTTGTTTTATTTGTTAAGGGGAGGCTAATGAAACGATACACTTCTACTAGACCGTTTTTGCGGTACCCATGACATGTGACAGCTGCGTCAAGGACGTTTCAGACTCGTTGTACAAGCTGGGGGGGATCACCAAGGTCGAGGCCGATCTGAAGGACCAATTACTCTCTGTAGAGGGCACAGGTACGCCCCTTCTACTGCAAACTCTGAATCGAGTTGGGTTTATCGGGCTTGTCCCACCATCTCGCCCAGCCAATCCTACATCTGCTTAACAGTAAGATACTGTGGGATACTGCAGTACTCTGCGGGCAATACGGCAATCATGCTTTCAGGCTTCGAGTCTGTTTGTTGATGCGTCATCCGTACCAAAGGAGTCAAGATTGGCGTGTCATTTGTGATAGTTACTGACTCTTGATGGCATCTTGCAGCCGCACCATCGGCCATTGTTGACGCCATCCAAGCCACAGGAAGGGACGCTATCCTGCGAGGATCGGGTGCATCAAACAGTAGGTGGACTAGGACAAGTTTCTTTTCTCTACTCACGGGCGGTGAAAGCATTTCCTTTTTTGCTCATCTGCCTGCCGGCGCGTTGCCCACGCTGTACCTTCTGTAACCCCTTGGCGAACATTAGGTTGTTTCCTGATGCTACTCAACCTGTCTTGCTGGGCCGGCATTGTTGTCGGCAGATAAGATTTGGTCGTCAAACTGGCTTACCTTGAGACATGATTCAAAGGCTTACTCCTTGAACAGGCGCGGCTGTAAGCATCCTGGAGTCCTTCTACCGTGCAGATGGGGACGATGCGGCCTCAAAGTCGGAAGAGGAGCAAGCTCGAGAAGTCAGGGGCTTGGCCAGAATGGTGCAGGTTTCTCCAACTACTACCTTGGTTGACTTGACACTTCGCGGCGTCGCCCCTGGCTCCTACCGAGCAACCATCCGTGAGTACGGCAACCTAGCAGACGGCGCCTCGTCGACAGGCCCTGTCTGGTCTGGGGGCAGTGAAGCTGCGGCTGCCAAGGGATTCTTGGGCGTCTTCGAGGTTGGCAAGGATGGAAGAGGCAGTGCGTACCTCGACAAGCCTTTTCAAATCTGGGAAGTCATTGGCCACGCCATGGTCGTCTCGAGACAAGATGAGTCCGCGGCAGTTCTGAAGAACGACCCGGACACTGTTGTCGGTGTGATTGCCAGGAGTGCGGGTGTGTGGGACAATGACAAGACCGTCTGCTCATGCACGGGCAAGACGCTATGGGAAGAGAGGAAGGATGAAGTAAAGAAGGGCATGCTCTAGGTATCATTTGGATCAAGCCTTGGGAACCCCTCGAATGATATATGAGATGGATCACGAGGATTACGAGAATACCAGAAGATGATCCATTTGTTTTGGCACCAGGAGAGCTCGGCTAAGCAGGCCAAATAAACTCAAGTAGATCACCAGTGGCAACACGTGGAGGTGGCAGATGCTGTAAACAACATCGTACGATTTTTGCGATGAACATTGATCTTGGGGCAACATCAACCAAGCGGGATTAAGGCCGGTGGCCAAGGCTTCCCGGAATAATGACGAGCAAAGCACCAGGGGTCTTGGGACTTGTGGTGTGAGAAGTGCAGAGAACCACACCATAGGTGGATTAGACAGCGCGGCTGAGCTTTTTTTTGGAGACCTTGGCGGAGCATTGAGTTCGAGGGGACTTCGGGATTTGGTGTTACTCGCGGTTACCCGGACTCTCTCTCTCTCTCTCTCTCTCTCTCTTTGTCTCCCATATCTGGCTTGCTGGTTTTGAAGGGCGTCGTAACATGGTGTTGGAGTCTGGGGTTCTGGTAAGGTTGTTGACACCATCCGGTCTCCCCTGGCCCATTGCGTTAACCTTGATGTGCCAAGCTTTCCAAGGCCTGTCTCAGCCAGAGTTTTTTGCCGAATTCTTGATGGTTTGTGAATTGAGGAAGGGGTGAGGGAGCTCTAGGACAGTGACATTGCGAATCCTTCTCCCTAGTAAAATAGGTCCGGGCCAGGACAGGCAGCCAGAAAATGGAAGTGGTTCCCAGCGTCGGCTTGATGCAGATCTTGTTAGAAGAAACAGCGATGACGGTTCCGGGAGATTCCCCCCACCGATCGAAGACCGGAAGGAGGCGGAGCGCGAGTGACAGGTGGCAGATGAGACGAATACGCGTGTGTGCTTCGACAGGGACTAGAGGAAGTACCTTAATTCTATGGAGCACAAGGGGGGGTCGGAGCTGGCTTGCCGTGGTGAGTCCCACTATAGAGTCCTAGGAGTACATACAGGTGGGCGTGTGTGCTTGACAGGGCGTGAACGTGAATGTGAATGTACGTAGAAGACGATGAGCAGCAGATATGTGCAAAAGGGGTCGGTGTGTGTGTGTGTGTGAAGAGAATGGTCAGGTTTGAAACTAAGCGCGACGGATGTCAGATGCGGGATGAGTGGTCCAAGAGCTTGGGCTAAGTAAGACAATCAACACGAGGCAATATGGTTTTGAAGGAAGGCGTTTGTTGGCCACATGCCAGAAGCAGACTTGACAGAAGGCTAAGCATCATTCAAGTGGCACTGAGACGCCTTTGCGCAAAACTTAATGGACAACTGTGGTGTAAACAGCATGTTTGACGAGGGTAGTTTAAGAAACAGCAACTGCTATGCAACTGAGTCGAGTAAGCAGATCGTTTGGTGTGTGGTGATCATAGCAAGAAGCCGGTAGTGTTCATTGAGATTTGCAATGCAGGCAACGGACCGTTTAGGTGGCATTGAGCGAGAGCAACGACGAGATTGTCGCGCAATCATCTGTTTGAAGGGATGCCCAGACTTGTGACATTTGATGGAGTCTGAGAGAGAAGCGGGAGAGAGCAACTCGGAGCGGAGCGTTGCGGTGCTCCTGTCTGCGATGCATGCTTCCGTCTGTGTGTACAAGACATTGTGATAAGGTAAGTAGTAAGTGGTATGGAGTTAGGGCCAGGGGCTGTCCTACGTAGTCAATCATGGTGAGGCGTGCAAAGCAAGTGCGAGACATACGGCTTGCTGGTCCTCGACCGGATGCTGCGTAGTAAAACACAATGAGGTTCGTTGGCTTAACGTCTAGTTCATGCGGCGGGGTGGCTGTTGGTCCGGGCTTCAACGTCTGAAGTTTCTCTGCACCAAAAACATGTGGTGAGCAACTTCACCCCACTGGTGCTAGCGTTACAGCGGGAAGCTGCCTTCCTAGGCTAAGCCGTTGATTGGACCCAGAAGCGTGGCTCCCTTGTGGAAGGGGGGGATGTCAGTGGAGACCCCAGCACGGGACTTTCCAAAACAGCCTGAAGAAGAAGCGAGTTTCGCAGAATTTTTGAGACCTCCAGCGACAGGGGTGATTAGAGTTGGGCCATCCTTCTTTTCCTAGTCGGGTAGCGCATCGCAGCCCAGAAGACTAACTAATCAGGGCTTTTGTTAGGCGTACCCAAAGATTGGTATTGCTAGTAGGTGTACGGGTTGCATCTTGGCTTCCCCTGAGATGACCGACGATCTGTTGGCTAAGAAAACTTGAGGGAGCAGGGGAAAAGCCAACATGGAAGGGATTTACTACTGCTTCGGGAAGCCATTGCCTGCTTTGCCTTGCGACATACCGCGGTAGTAGAAGATGGGAGAAGCTCTTTCTACGGAGATAGAATGCAGTTCATTGTTCTTTCTTTGTTCTTTCGGAAGTCGGGTCCACGCCCATTGCCTCCTGCTTCAGCCCCCCCTGTCCGTCTTACATCATTTAGGTCCCAATTCAGAAGGAAGTAGACAAGCTCTTCCTTTTCTTGATTCGTTCATGTCCGCGATGTTCACCAATCAGTTGTAGCGAGCAACAATAGTAACAACAACAGCAACAACAACGGCAGGGGGTGGAGCAAGAGAGGACTCAGCAAGGGTTTGCTTGGATGGAAATTCAGCGGCCGTTCCGAAAGATCCTTTATAACTACGAACTGTGTAGTGGCATACAATGCGCTAGTAGTGAACGGATACACATACCTTAATTACCTAAGGCGTTTAATGGTAAACGTCAACAAGGTGTGGCTGAGCTTTCTTTTCGAGCCAAGATTTTAGGACCGGATCCCGGACCTTGCTGGTTGGTCCCCTTGACCTTCATAGTTTAGCGATATCGTTAACATTATCCGAGATCCCTTACGGAACTAACCACAAACTCAGCTTCAATCGGGTTACCACCTAGCCTCTGGACTGAGGCACGGTCTTCGAATCCGATAACCTCCACTCTCACCTTAATGAGCTGGCCTGTTCTGGACCCGCTGTAGATAAGGTTGCCCAATTTCTGACAAAGACTGGACGAGATTTGCTGCGTCGGCGTTCGCACCACAAATGGGAACTGGTAAGGATTCTGACAACTGTTTCTGGGCAACATCCCTCATCAACTCAGCCCAACCCCGCGATCTAAGCAGATATCTGCGCCTGTCGCACCACGATGGCCTCATGACACTGCAGAATCAACCGAGCACCATCTCACCATTTTGCCTCGCCTCCCTCATCTCCCTCATCTCCTGCACATTCTCTCCATGTGGAATGGTTGAACGGCAAAACACCCCAAATGCAGGTACCTTGCGCTGTCAAAAGGCACAGGATGGACTGCCGAATCTGTGCCGCAGAGGCGCTCGTGTTGGGCGGGTCTTTGTGTGTGACAAACCCTCGGGTTTCCTTGCAGATCCTCGTCTGCCAACGACACCACACCATCTCCTTCCCCGCGGTAGCCGGCACTGTTGCCAATTATCTCGATGATGCTAGGTACATTATGCTTAGGTATATGATTGTAGGACTGCACCATCGGGATACTCTCAGTCGATCTCGGCCCTCGTCATGTCAAAATGTAAATCTTCCAAAGGTGATCACCTCTCTCCTGGATAACCTAGCTGCAAAAACCCTGATGAGTCGATCTGCACAACTAACCACCTGTCAACCAATTTCTGGCACTTCGCACGCCTCATCACCGACGCAGCCAGAGTGCGAGTTGGACCAGGTTGAGCCAATAATGAAACGCCTCCAGGCGCTTAAAGTCTTCCATTTACAGTCTGCGAACACGATACTCTCCGTCATGCTATTTTAAACGGTCGGGGCAACGTCATTCATCAGCTCCAGAAGCTTGGTATTGCGGATCAATCGGAGAGATGTCGGCCTGCAAGCACTTACACCTGCTTCTACCTGACCCTCATCCTTGGTAACTAAAAGAAAAATAGCCCGATAACTGACAGGATGAGATGGGGGTGGTCTGCAATCACAGTTGCAGTTGCAGCATCAGCATCAGCAGAGTCCCCATACTTCAGCCACGAGGACATGATCTCTTCACCTGCAAGCTGCAACTCTTAATCACCACCAGTGCAAAGCTAACAGTGTGATCGAGGTGGCGTTAGTCTCTTGCGTACGCGCCCTTGGCCCTAGACGCCGGTGGCTTTAAAGGTCAAGTCCGAGTCCCGTGTTCCTGGGGACCAATCAGGCATGTCTGGCAGTCGCTGGAACGCTTCGTGCATGGGAACCGACAGGCCCTGATTCGCAGTGGTTGCAAGATGCCTGCGACATCCGACAATAGTGCATTATCGTTAAGGGACTACTGCGTATTACCTGGTTGAGAGGCACGCAACGGGACAGGCCTACAGCGTCTGTCCCTGGGGCTTCAGGAGAAAGGGAGCCGGAGACAGCCACTCCCCTGGTGGGCCACCACAGGATGTGCGATCTGACCCACCCCGCCCTGACATGGACTCTGACTTCTTGCTGGGCTTGCGCTCTAACACACACCCCGGGACGGACGTCGGATGGGATGCCTAGACAAACCAAAGGGGGCCACCACCAGGCCCCAGATCGAAGAGGCACAGGAGGACTGGAGGGATCCTAACGTTCGATGACAAGCACGCCCACAACCCAGTATCTGGCGACGCGATATGCAAAGTGGTCCGATTTCGAGAAAAAACACTTGATGTTGTTCCTCAATTTAGACAAGTTTGTTTCCCTTGTCGACTGTACTACCTTGTCTAATGCCAAAAGAAGGATCTGCGCGGTAACTTATAGTGACTGGAACGACATCTCGGGGAAGTTGCCAGAGACTGACGCGGGCATGTTCTCTCGACCAGTCTGCAGAGGAAGCCCATCTGGGTATCGTCGGCGAGGTAGATCCTGCAATAACACAGCACAGATCGGCTGTACAACTTCGTCTCTTCCAGACAAGAGGGCGTGTGGAAGAGAAAAGGGATAGACACCAGAACTCTTGCAACACACACCCCCTTCCCATTCACCGCACCGCCCAAGCCACTTGTTCCGGGCTATTCGCTCCAAGCACCCCCTTCAAGTCGATAGCAAGAAGCCCACCCCTTGGATCCCCCTGCAACTCGCAACTGGGCGAGCACCGGAGCACAGGCATCCTAAGCGTTTCTTGATGACAATCCAGTGTCCAGTGGGAATATCAATCACTTCTGAGCACCTTGCATGATATACGCCCAGTCCTGCGGCCCACAGCCCAACCAGTAAAAAGTCCCTTTGCTTCTCTTTGCATCGACTCTATTTTCTCTACCCTACCCTCCTTTCCCTCCGTAGGCGCTGGCTTTTTTCGTCCTGCATCCATTCATTCCCAATCTTTTGCTCAAGCCTGGCTGCAAGTCTGGCCATTCCATCACTTTTTCTGTTGTCTATCACGCCTGGGAAGAATTGAGATTTCAATATCACAAGACAGCCAAGCCCAACCCGACCACAAGCCAGTCCTTTCAGGCCCGCAACAAGCTTTCGTAGTCGAACGACCATCCGAGGTTCGATTCTAATTAACGCACGATACAATCTGAGAGAAGGAAGCCACACCGAACGACGCAGAGCTAGTGGACAGTCTTGGGATCTGCTCACTCAGCCAGACCATCTTTTTCTCGTCACCAGCGAGCAGAAAGAAAAGACCCGAGCACAGATTCCTCCTGTAGCTAGACGCAGGACGAGGACGAGGACGGACTGAACTGGCCTTCGGACCCCCCCTTTTAGCGCGTTGTCCAACTTACATACATACATATCCCACCCACCACCCCGTAAGGGCCATCCCATCCTCCCCGACAACTTAATCCATCTCTTGCGCACAACGTACACAAACCCGAAACACTGTCCTACTTTTGGCATCTGCTTCTGCTGGACAGGAAAGAAACAGTAGCAACTCTAAAAGAGGCAGCGCACCTCGAAGCAGACACACACATCAACCTAACCTAGCCTGCACCCAGGCACCACTTGGGGGGAAGAAACCCTCTTTTTGAATCGCATCGGTGTTTCTTGCAGAAGCTTTCGGCATCTGTCAGACGGGGCCATTGATCGATCCCTGGTATACCCACCACACGCCAAGATCTTCAGCTCCTCGCTCAGGTACGAATTGCAACCATTTACAAGTGGAAGCGGGGATACGACTCCAACGGTCATTTCAGTGGCGCCGAGCACACCGCACGGTCACCGCCGGCTGCCCAGCCCGCCTGCTATCTCCCTAAATAGCCCTGGGACCCTCTCCAGCCGCCCGCAGCACACTGTTTTGTTGTTCTGGCCTGGTTTGGATTGCGTTGGCTTTTCTTTCTCTCAGAATCCGCAGTTCCCCACGATACCCCTTTCCGCGAACAATTCCCGCCTTTTCGCTCGCAGTAGCAGCAACGGTCTGCCTGCGCATCTATCTGTTCATTGATTTTCGAGTTTTCGCTCTCGATTTTTTCAATCTAGTGACAACATGTCGCTGAAACAAGTAAGTTCACTCGCACGATGGAACCCAGCCACCGAGGTGCAACAATCGGGTTGGGCGGGCACGGTGCTTCAGTGGTCGCACGCAATGTATGACTGACAAACTGCTGCTGTTCAGGAAATAGAAACCTGGGTGTCGGCCCTGGGCCGATACGACAACAACGAGTTCGACGAGGCCCTCAAGGACTTTGAGAAGATCTCCGACACGTCCAAAATTCTCTTCAACATGGGCGTTATCCACGCTACGTTAGGAGAGCATGAGAAAGCTGTGCGTATTCCCCGAGGCTTACCTCCGAGTACTACAAACTGACAGCCGAACCAGGTCGAATGCTACCAACGAGCAATCAAGTTAGATCAGTATCTTGCCGTCGCCTACTTCCAGCAAGGCGTCTCAAATTTCTTGCTTGGCGACTTTGAGGAAGCACTGGCGAACTTCAACGACACCCTCCTCTACTTGAGAGGCAATACCATGATCGACTACGCCCAATTAGGCCTGCTTTTCAAGCTGTACTCCTGCGAAGTCCTCTTTAACCGCGGTCTTTGCTATATTTACCTGCAACAGAAGGATGCCGGTTTGCAGGATTTGACTTACGCCGTGAAGGAGAAGGTGGTCGAGGACCACAATGTCATCGACGAGGCCATCCGGGAAGAGGCAGAGGTACGAGCGTCGCTCCCTTCTCACGAACATGGCTAACCACCCACAGGGCTACACTGTCTTCTCGATTCCCGTCGGCGTCGTGTACCGACCGAACGAAGCGAAGGTCCGTAATCTCAAGACTAAGGACTACCTCGGAAAGGCACGCCTGGTCGCCGCCTCCGACCGCTCGAACGCCTTCACAGGCTTTGCCGGGTCTGAAATCAAGAATGTAGGCAGATCGGTTCCCACACCTATCGTCTTCTATGGGAATCAATTTGCTAATCAGAGACTTCTTGGGTTACAGGCTGGCAAGAACGATGTCAAGGATGACAGACCTGCTGACAACATCTCTTTCGCCGCTACCAACCTGGTCAAACCCGGGTTGGCTTCAAGAAGACAGCAGTCTGAACCGCCCAATGGCCGCGGCGTGTTCCCCCCGACGCCCCCGCCCGACCAGGTTGAAGCCAACAATGGTGGCGGCATGACCCGTGGACAGTCTGTTCGCAATGGACCGAAGCCCATGCTTGCGAAGCTGAACATTGATAACTCGAGACCGAACCAGCAATACCAGAAGACAAGCAGCCCGAATGACCGCCGGGCGCCGCCTCCCATGAGATCTGAGTCTCGGTCGGCCACCCCTAGCAGGGGCTATTCTAGGCGGGACATGCAGATGCGCGGTCGCCCTGCCGATGAAGAAGTCGAAGATGCCTATCCCGACGAGTTGTACGACATGTATCAGGGTGGTGGTAACTCTGCCAGCACAAGAACCAGTCGCCAGACCTCCCGCCGTGTTCCGCAACGGTACATGGAGGACGAGGAAGATGGCTCCGACTACGGCTCCTTCGACGAGGGAGATTTCGAGATGGTTTCTAACAGACGCCCTGGCACAAACTCAATGTCCTCTCGTGGCGGCTCAAGGAGACCGGAGATTCGCAAGATCCGCGTCAAGGTTCACGCCGAAGATGTCCGGTACATCATGGTTGGCGCGGCCGTCGAATTCCCCGACTTCATCGACCGCATTCGGGAGAAGTTTGGTCTTCGCCGCAGATTCAAGATCAAGATTCGTGACGAGGACATGCCGAACGGTGACATGATTACTATGGGTGATCAGGATGACCTCGACATGGCCATCATGTCTGCGAAGAGCCAAGCAAGGAAGGCAAGGCAGGATATCGCCAAGATGGAGGTAAGCCTATACTGTACCACTCGGTTCTGTTGATTCACATGAACTAACACATCTGCAGATCTGGGTTCAGGAAATTTAGACGGATTATACCCCCCCAAACCAAACCATATGACGACGTAATGACCAACAATTTTTTTGCCCTGAGCCTCTACATCTACAACCTTTTCCATTCTTCACTTAGTTTACCCTTTTTTTCTTTCACCCATGACTGCATTTTCAAGGAGATGGGATTCGGTTGTAGAAAGGGCGTCCAAAACGGGAACATGGACAACATGGACAAAAGGGCAACCACCCACTCACATTATCAATGAGTTGATGTTGACTGGAGAGGGAGGGAGAGAGAGTGAGAGAGCCAAACAGAGCTGGCTCGATGGCACCCCGATGGCCGCGAACGACATGATCATAGCGTTGCATTGCTTTAGAACGGAACAGCCAAGGAGGGGCGACGGGGTTTTTATTTGGACACGGTAAAGAAGAAGCCTTTCTTAGGGTGGACATCTTTTCGTTCCCCTATTCTATACTATTTACTACGTCCACTACCTATCAACCTCCCCTTGGTCGATAATCTCTCAAATTACGTATCACTGTATCTCACGAGCTCGTATCGAGGCCCGCATCATCAAATTTAATGCATCGATCTACACATGCTTAACTGACTTACTCTGCCATCTTAATTCCGCTGCCACCTCGCGTGTATGTACATTACAAAATCTTCTGCGAAGTTCGAGGTTAGGAGCAGACGATGGCTGAACAGCTTCACCTATATAGTTGAAGGAGGTAGGAAAAGTGAACTGAGATTCAAGAATACGAGGTTTGAGACGAATTGTTACCAAATATATGTGTGTTATGCTCTACCCAGCAACAGGAACGGTCAAGACTATAGAACTACAACGTGCCTTGTAAACGCAGGGTTTGACGGCAGCATTCCAATTTGAAAGGAATAGCAGACGTACTACGACTGTACACGAAAATTTATGTAATTTCTTCTAGTATGTTATAAAGGTTACATCTAACAGTACAGCCATTGATTGCCCAGGCCGAGAAAAACGACAAACGTAGCAGCACTTTTCGGGTCCTTTCCATCTTTCATCTGCGCCTAACACACTTATCGTACAAGGCAAGTATACAGCGAGCCAAGCCTCTTCGCCACCGCAACTAGGCGGACAAATCGTTCAAATCGGTCTCGGCCCAAAGTCAAACGTCTCTCGCTCTACTTACGCAATGCAGAGCTCGAACCGCAACATGGTCTCCTCCCGCCCGAGCAGAGCGAGTTGCAACTTGGCAGGCTTGGCCCCGCGGCCAGGTTTGCCTGTCAGGACCAGGCGAAGGAGTGTGTACGTCGCCTTGGAAATATCCATCTTCTTCGCCTGTCCGTCACTGTCCGTCATGACGACTGCGTGTCTGGCTGCAAAGTCGTTGATGACCTTTTGCAGCAGGTTCGCGCTCCACTCTTTCTCCGGCACGGCCTCGAATGAGGCCTTGAGGTCGGAGAGAAGTTCCTCGGGTGTGGCTTTGGTATCCTGGAGGTCCGCAATCTTGGCGGCGGAGCGGCTGAAAGTATATCTCGCGTAGGCCGTCGGGCTCGGCCGGAAGAAAAGCGAAGGGTGTTCGTAGATCAGACCCTGAGGATCGATGGGGGAATCCGCGGCTAGGGTGCGATTGATCCGCAGGAGGTGTTGCGGCGCAGTGGACGGATCGGAGAGCACTGGTATTAAGCAAGAGAAATCCGTTGTTTTGAAGGTATGGCGCGGGTTCGTAGGGCTGACGATATCTTCTTCCTTCTTATCTGCGATGAGGCCCGAGATATGGGATAGGAGCTTTGTGGTGGGCGGGATAATGGCCTTTCGAAGCAAGGCCTCGTCGGGGTTCTCTTCGCGGAGGCGGTGAGTTAGATGTTTGCGTTGGAAGACGGCGAGCTTGTCTGGGTTGGTTTTAATGTTGCCCTTTGTAAATCTCAAAGAAAACTGTTCTTTGTTTTAGCAAGTGAGGTCTATTTCTGAAGCATGTCAAGTGTGTATACCTTTTCAGCCAGGGCGTTCGCGGTAAGGAATACTTCACCACTCTTGGCGATATCCTTCGCGTCCATACTCCAGCCGAGGAGAGCAAGCCAGTTGTTCAGCGCAGACGGAAGAATGCCCTTATCACGGTACGAGGAGATATCGATGTCATGGTTGCGCTTGCTGAGCTTCTCGCCATTTTGGGCGCAGAGGAGACCAGCGTGGGCAAAGGTGGGCGGCTCCCACTTGAAGGCGTTGTAAAGGGCGATGTGCTTGGGCGTTGAGATGAGCCATTCCTGTCATGTGTAAGTATCTCCTTAATATATGTATCACTTGCAATGTGAAAACGTACTGCGCCGCGGATGACGTGTGTGATCTCCATGAGATGGTCGTCAACAACATTGGCAAAATGATAGGTCGGATAGCCATCACTCTTGATGAGGATGAAGTCATCCTCGTCCTCGTTCTTCTGGTAATTGCCGTAGACCTTATCTACAAAGGAGGGACGACCCGCACCGCGAAAGCGCACAACGTGTGTCTCACCAGCTGCCGCACGCCGCTCGGCTTGATCTGGAGGGATGTCGCGACACGTTCCTGGGTAGTGGGCGGAGCCGCCATTGTCAAGAGACTGCTGCTTGTGCCGTTCAAGGTCATGCGCCGTACAGAAGCAACGGTAGGCATGGCCGTTGTCCAAGAGCTCAGTGATGTACTTGTTGTAATAGGCCAAGCGTTCGGACTTCAGAAAAAGGTTAGATGGTACTGTGTGGAGGGAGGGCAGTGAGACTTACTTGTTGATATGGTCCGTAGGGTCCGCCAACATCAGGGCCTTCATCCCAGTTCAGCTCTGCCCATTTTAAATCGGATAGCAGGCGCTGTACAGCATCATCGACGATTCGTGTCTGTGATGTCGTTAGCGCCCCACTGCATCAGATCAACATTAGATTCATGTCAGCTTACCCTATCCGTATCCTCGACGCGAATAATGAACTGGCCACCAGTAGCCCGCGCAATCAACCAATTGAACAGAGCGGTTCTCAAGGAGCCTAAATGGAGATACCCAGTGGGTGAAGGAGCAAACCGCGTCCTGGCTGGCTTTTCAGGCAGATCATGCAGCCTCTTGTCAGTCAGAGAAGGTAGCTTCTTCCTCAGGGCCTCAAAGCCGCGCTTGTTCGCGGAGGAATGCCATCTTGGGGTGCCCGCACGGCACTGTTGGCACCCATATAATGAACTGCGGAACAGATACCTGCTCTGAGGTCTCAGAGCTATTGTTGACATGCTGGAGACATTAGAGTGGTGCTGTGTTGATAGTTACCAGTGTCATCGATGAATGAGCTGACTTGGGTGAAATTTGACGATGAGCTTCAGCCACATGTGGCGCATAAAAACACACATATGCATAAATCGAGGCGTTGACTTACACAGCAGCACAGGGTCTCTATTATGGTTTGCTCCGCATTGCTACCATGTCTGCCTGTGTTGCACGCAGCGCTTCATGATAGTCTGCTTTACTTAATCTAGCCACATCAAACGTCTTGAACAACTTGATTTCTTTCTACGCGGCTTCAGATGACACAGGTCACGACCGGGAACTACCCCAGTTCCTCATCAGAAGAAGCCTTGCATCCGAGCACCTTACGCATGCCAAGGTTTTGGTGATATTGACAGTATGAAGGTCCGTCCACAGTCTGTGTTCTCGGCAGCCTCGGGGCCAACTGAGACGATTTCATTGCCTATACAAGCCGTAGATGCGCTACAAGACTTCGTCCCTCCAACGGACCCCGAAAACACAGGGCCAAATCGGTAGCTTGACTTAACTTGGATAGACAGTCGCCGAGGAAAACAATGTCGCAAAAACTATCATGGGCTTCCCTGATGAATACTTTCCTTGTGATTCGTTGATGGGCAAGTAAAAAGATGGTGGCTGGTCTACTTTAGACATCGCCTCTGGTGAACCAGATGCAGGCAGGCAGAGGGAGGCATCTCAATTTTCAAGGGGTCCATAGCACTGGCAGCAGCTTACCTGATATCATCTACCGCGTAGCCCCTAAAGTGCCTAAACGCCCTGTACCAAGGTTGTAGGGACCGCACCCCCCGTAAGGCACGGGATGTACCCCGCCAAACCGCAGGCTGCGTAAGGTACTCCAGACAAATATTTTCAAGTTGACTCCACATCCCACCTTTCACATCTCCAAACCAAATCGCCGAAGGTTGTATCTCGAGCGAAACTTTTGCCGAGTAAACCTTGAAGAAAAATTCCCATCATGGACAGTGGTGGACCGAGTGCCGGTTCTGACACCGGAGCGGAGGAGATTGATCTCTACGGTAAGCATCTGATTGCCTATATGGAGCCTCGGAGGTACCTTTTTTTTGTGGTGGATCAATTCTGACGCATTTTCTAGAGCTGCTTGGGATCGATAAGGATGCGTCCCAGGAACAGATTAAGAAGGCATACCGAAAGGTTCGCGATCACCCCCTTCCGCCGTGATAACATCTCCCCTAACGCGCGAATCACCAAGACTGACTGATCTCCTATTCAGGCTGCCCTCCAACATCACCCCGACAAAGTCCCTGAGGAACGCAGAGAAGAGTCTGAAGCCAAGTTCAAGGCTGTGAGCCAGGCATACGAAATTCTGAAAGATGAAGACAAGCGCCACCTCTACGACACCCACGGCATGGCTGCCTTTGACCCCTCCCGTGGCGGCGGCGCCGGCGGCCCCGAGGTCGACCTGAACGATATACTGTCACAAATGTTCGGCTTCGGCATGGGCGGTCCTGGAGGACCTGGCGGCGCTGGCCCTAGGAGGCCTCGCCGCGGTCCCGATGAGGACCAGCCGTACAAGGTTACTCTTGAGGAGCTTTACAAGGGCAAGACCGTCAAGTTCTCCGCCAACAAGCAGGTCGTCTGCGGCAGCTGCAAAGGATCTGGCGCTAAGCCGAACGTCAAGCCCCAGCAGTGCGAGAAGTGCAGAGGCGCTGGTATGGCAGAGGCTTTCCGCCAGATCGGTCCCGGCCTCGTGCGCAAGGAGACTGTCATCTGCGATCGCTGCGAGGGCTCTGGCAACTTCTACAAGGAGAAGGACCGCTGCAAGAAGTGCAAGGGCAAGCGCACCACTTCCGAGACCAAGGTTCTCGAAATCTACATTCCCAGAGGCTCTCAAAACGGCGAGAGAATCGTGCTGGAGGGCGAGGCGGACCAATTTCCCGACCAGACACCCGGAGACATTGTCTTCCACCTGCAAGAGGAACCCCACGACGACTTCACCCGCATCGGCAACGATCTGTCTGCGGAGCTGACCGTCACTCTGGCAGAGGCTCTCGGCGGCTTCTCCCGCACCGTGCTTACGCATCTTGATGGCCGTGGCATTCACATCGACCGACCGCGTGGCAAGATCCTCCGCCCTGGTGACATTTTGAAGGTTCCCGGCGAGGGTATGCCTCTCAAGCGTGGTGACGCCAAGGGTGACCTGTACCTGATTGTCAACGTCGAGTTCCCCGAGGATGGTTGGTTGAAGGATGATAATGAGTATGACGCCCTGAAGAAGCTTCTGCCGCCCCCTCCTGCCGAGATCAAGGCGGAAGAGGTTGATGAAGTTGAGTATGAGGAGGTTGACAGCTTGGATTCGGTAAGTTTTGACAGTACACCCTGAATAATTGAACCTTGCGCTAACGAATATCTACAGATGGGTGCAAACTCTGGCGACCCCCGATTCGGCGGTGAGTGGGAGGATGAAGATGAGGAGGACGGCCAGCCTCAGTGCCAGACCCAGTAAGGTGCAAACGGATAGATGCTTTAGAGGACAGAGTCTTGGGCATTGGAAGCCCTGTAACTCATGACAGACATGATGAAATCCCGGGATGGTGAAGGTTGAAGCATAGACACAGGATTTGGAGAGGAGTTTTGTAGCTTGTTAACTTGGGCATCATCCCCTCATGAATGAACGGCAACCCACAGATCATGGGTGCCATGTCACTTCTCAACCTTGATGGTACCATTCTGTGATGCGCGAATGACGGTGACTCATGGAAATTGTAGACGAGAGACCGAGTTCCACTTCATCGCAGGGCTCAATCTCCTTAGCGGACGACTCTATCACCAACTTGACCTCACTCTTTCTTACTGTAGCAGCCATGTACAACCCATGTGGCGTAGTGGTTAGAATAGTCGGCACCCATTGCAAAGCCTCAAGAGATCCTGTTGCAATGCCTAGTAAGTGGTAATCACATACTGGCCTTGTCTTGTTGATACTGCCAGAGCATGAAATAACGTGGAATTTTGGACTCCGTTACTGTGGCTCAGCCTGTGGCTCGGTTCGTGGCTTGAAACTGAGGAAGTTTGACATGACGGTCCACTGTGGAGCGGCTATATGTATTATCATTGGTTAGATGTTCAGCCCCTTGTTAGCGTCCTCTAAAATGGACCTGCACTCACAGTTTTCTCGCCTGGAAAGAAAGCCATCCACCCACAGTCACGTGCGTTCCGGTAAAATTTGAGCCCTAACGTCGAAAAGCACCTGCCCGAACTTTTGGTGTGTCGACACCAAAATTTGTGATTTGCTTGACCCTCACGACGAACACCCGCCCCGACTAACCACAGCCAGGAACAACCGTCAAGGTGAGAATCGAATCGACCCCCGTCGTCAATCACATTGTCGTCGTTGTCATTTGTCGATTTTATGCTGACAATATTTCATCAAGATGGTCGCCGCAAAGAAGCACGTCCCTATCGTGAAGAAGCGTATGTCCTTCCTCCCAACGCAACACAACCCCACGACCCCGCGCCGAGAACCACGACGATGAAACGATTTTGGAATTGGAACGAGAGGATTGACGGATGTGATTTCATACAGGCACGAAGCTCTTCAACCGCCACCAGAGCGACCGCTTTATGCGCGTTGACCGATCATGGCGCAAGCCTAAGGGTATCGACAACCGTGTTCGCCGTCGCTTCCGTGGCAACACTGCCATGCCCTCGGTATGTTTAGGACCCTCTCGAAACGGAGATTTATTGAAGAGGAGGGAATCGAATTTTTGGCAAACAGAAAGGATGGAGGGGTATCCGAAGATGAATAATCGCTGACATTGGGTTTCCCAAATTCAGATCGGCTTCGGTTCCAACAAGAAGACCAAGTACATGATGCCCTCCGGCCACAAGGCCTTCCTCGTCAGCAACGTCAACGACGTCAACCTTCTGCTGATGCACAACCGCACCTACGCTGCCGAGTCCGTAACCCCCACGAAGTCGAGGACTAATCCGAGTCTGGTCAGACAATACTAACAAGTCGTAGGATCGCCCACAACGTCTCCTCGAGAAAGCGTATCGACATCATTGCCCGGGCGAAGCAGCTCGGCGTCAAGGTCACCAACGCCAAGGCCAAGGTCACCACCGAGGTCTAAACGGAAGTTTTGTGGTCGGTTTACTGTGGAACAAAACAATCATTTGGGGGCGTGGGCGAGGGTTGGTTTCCGCCGGTTACTTGCGTTGTGCTCTCTCATATCCAGGGAACGGGAATGCATCGGAATACGGTTTCTGCGATGAATTCTGGGAGCTGCGGCCTGGCATGGCATTCGGTAACCGTTGTGCTAGGATGAATACAAAAAGAAAAAACGCAGCAAAATTCAACGACTTGATGTTCTCAGGCGTGCCCACCAGACATTTTCGGGTTTTGATACTGGCGTTAGATGGCAAGGAAAAGAAGATTCTTACGCTCAATTCGAAAATGCCATCGCCCCCACGTTGGTTCCACAAATCATTCCCCAATGAATCCTTCCTTCAGTGACAAGCTAATTCGTCAAGTTGACACTGGTTCAACCGTTGCGAGCCCTTCCTGTCACTGCAATCCAGCGCCATGTTTATCTCGTACTAATGACAGCTGCCTTGCCAGTAGATACTCAAAATATCATCATGGACATTGTAATCCTGAAGACTGATGAGTTTACCATGCGCATTATGAGAACCTTTCTAAGGCCATTGTCTCCGTCGCCAAGGAGAGAGAAAGCAATTCATAAAGGACCATCAACATATTCTCTCGTACTGGCACAAATGGTGTAGTCACTGCAAGAATGACATATGGTTTCAGAAAGTTGGTATAATAATTATCTAGGGTAGGCATTCCGCCGTTCCTCCCAGCGTCACGACTATTCTTACTAGCCGCAACCGTTGTAAAATACAATAAGGACAGACAAACAGGTAGCAAACGCTCGCTTTCCTGTCCCAGACTCGTGCGTTCCAACAAAAACGAAAAAACAAACTCGAAAAACTCCGATATCCCATGGTCTCATAAGTTAAGTTCGTTTGCTTCATCCACTTTTCCAGCGCCCCCGTAGAATCGAAAGCCTTCTCATGCTCCTTGCCCGAGGATTACAGAGAGTAGGCAAGCCCCCTCAACTCAGTGCATCCGCACCTTTAATTCGTGAGAGCGTCGTCTCTATTTGAAGCAGTGGAAGCGGCCGATACGGAAGCGCCAAGGCCCACGACGGATGCCATGACGGTCTGCATGGACGCTCGTGCCGAAGTTTCGGCCGCCGATAGGCTTGGAGTAGAAAAAGGGCATGTTGGAATGTGGTTTGGGTTTTTTTGATGGGATGAGTCTTGCTATTGAATTTGTCAGACCAGACCCCAAGAGAAACACCAAGAGCTTCTAGTGCCGATGTCGATGTGCAGAACAAGACGTACCTTCTAGTACTGTGTATATGAATACGCTTGTTTATAGGGTAAGAAAGCTTGTTGTGTTTGGATGAGGTAGTTTGACTTGGCTGTGTGTAGTGACCTTCAGCAGATCAGCCAAGAAGGAGCGGGCAACTTATATACTTTCTTCCCACCTTTTGCGCAACGGGTGACGATGAGGGAGCCAAGGGGGGTTTCCCAGCAAAGCGCTAACACAACAGCTCGCTTGCAGCCTTGGTTCTGGCGGTAATTACAGTGAGCTCTCTTCGTCCCCCCAAAACTTGGTCGTACTGGTGGTGTTGCCAAGACTTGTTGAGAGGTTGGTGACGTAGCGTGGCTGAGTACAGATTGTGGCTGGGGCGCAGTGACGTGAGGGGTCCAGGGTCCAGTGATATCTCGTCACGTTAGCGACAATGGCAAATCAAATTGCGTCTCTGGTTTCAGATGATTGATGGAGGCTGTGGAATGGTAGGTTCTGGACTCTATCTGTGGCTGCGGGAGGGTCCGCTGGTAACAGAGGGGTCGGGTGGCAGTCTTGACTGGTAGGAACCTGGATCGATCGATAAGGTTACTCGAATCTCCATTGAGATTCCAGGGGCAGTGATGTTGAGCAGTACAAGGCCACTTATGGCTTCAACCGGGGTCGTTGGTTTGCTGTCAAGGCACTCGACCAACTGAGGTCATTTCTGACCTCCTCCTGGTGGCTAAGTGGCCGGCCTTCTACGCATTCACATCTCGAATCTTTTCTCGGCTGTAGGTCCGGAGAAGGTCGATGCTTTGCTTCGTGGGCGAAATTATTTGTATCACTTTACGTACCATACACATCGAGAATTAACCAGTGTTGCAATGATATACTATCATACAACGGAATGAATGATCGTCACGGATGTTGAAACCATCATCAAGATGACCTGTGTTCAAACCGACGACTTTCAGACCAAGCCTAGGGTCTTACAATAATCAACAACCTCGAAGATGCTTGGATAACTATCAATGCTGGAAGGTAACAGTATTAAAGAAACATTAAGGTGACAGTCAAGTACATGCCTCAAGCAGATATCGTCGATGATCATATGTAGCTGAATAAGCTAGACGGACAGTCTCCATATGGATATATCAGGAATCTTCTTTTCGCTTTACAGATATTCCCCTTCCTTCGCCATCCTCCACATGACACAGAAAGATGAATAAGTCAGTTAGTCAAATAAAACGTTCCACAGGTGTTCACATCACACACTCAACCTCCGTTGTCAATGTTCAGCGTCTGTCATTTTAACAACTGTCAACTTCAACCGATTATCGACTCAACTATGACACATAGCGACCCCCCGAAAACACCCTCTAGAGTAAGAACACCAACCGGAGCGGAGCGCTAACCAGTCTGGACAGAATATGTTACAGGTCTTCATCACTTCCTTGGACGGATATCACCGTCGCAGAATCCCATCCTTTCCCATCAACCTCAATCATGACCCTTCTCTCGCAGAACCAAGCGCCGGGCCCGTCACGACCATCGTACACAACTCTCCCGTCCATCTCGATCACAGCCCCTTTTCCATCGACCGGTACTCCAACATGCCCTTTCAACCCGGCCTCTGCCTTTACCGCAATTTTGAACCATCCATTCCCTCTATTCATCCACTCGACGCCGATCACTCCGCCCCTGGGCGTCGGTACAACCCCCATAGCCCACGTCAACCCGGCCCTGACTGGCTTCACGCTGAATGTCTGGAAGCCGGGGCTTGTCGGCTTGACCCCCAGAACGTAGTTGCTCATCAAAGGCACAATGCCCGTGGCCCAGCCGTGCGCCATGCTCGTGTACCCATCCTCATAAGGCTTCCCGTTCTCCCCGATGCCCTCCCAGAACGTCACCCCGGGATCTTGCCCGCTCATCCAGCCGTATAGCCTCTTTATCTCTTCCACCGCGCTCTCGGCTAGCTCTTCATCACCTGTCTTGAACTTTGCCGCCAGCTCAAAATATGACACAAATGCATAAACCCTCTGACTAAATCCCTGCCCAACAGCATCCGAGTCGTAGAACGCGTTCCCATAAGGTCTTGAAGCAGTTCGAGAGTAATATTCCAGTATCCTCTTTGCCGTATCTCCAAATACGACATCCGCGAGAATGGCAATGCTGTTCCCATCTTGTGCATGCGCATCCACAAACTCCTCGGATGTCGCTCCCCTTGTCCCGTCGTAAAACGCCCCGACACTCTCGTCAAAGTTGCGATGCTCCAAAGCATTCGCAACAGCATGCGAACGCAAGATCCATCTCTCTGCATCTTCAGGGCGGGAGAGATGCTCCGCCATATCAGCCGCCCTCCGCAAAGCAAGCACGTAGAGTGCGTTGTAATACGTCACCGGCCCTTGGCGCGGTAGGAAGGCATAATCGCCGTACCTACCCGTTCCGTTGAGACCCTTGGTGACCAGTTGCGTCTCCGGGTTCGTAACAGAAGGGTACCATTTATCCAGAACAGCCAGCAAGTTGGGGTAATAGGTTTCAAGGTAGCCAACGTCCCCGGTGTACCAGACGTAGTCATGACTGCAGACAACCCACCAGAGGGGATAGTCGAACAATGGCAGCGTGTAGTTATTTCTGCGGCCCGTCAGCGTATTTCCCAGCAATAATAAGCATAGCGAGAGCAAACGCACATGCTTGCAGGCGGAATCCATCCATCACTCCTCTGATGCGCCGCCAAATCCGCCAGCACATTTCCACTTGCCTCAGCCACCAACTCCCCATGCGAAAGATACGCCGTTAGCGCTGCAACGGCCAAGTCGCCCACATACGGGTCCCGGTCTCTCTTCGGGGCATCGTGTATCACCTTCTTGCCCTCAAGCGTATCGCTTCCCGCGCCTCTCGGCTCCGCATCTTCGGCCCGGAAGGTGTCGATGCACTGATCGTTAGTGTATACCCCGTCGAACCACCATCTCGTGAGTTCAAGATCGCTGCACTCGAACCATCCCTTGAAGGTATCCGGCGTGCCATGGAATGCGGAAAGCTGCAGATTGACAGAAGAGATCTTGACTTCACCAAGACAAGTGGTGTAAGGCGCGTCAGAGGGTAATGCGTCAAGATAGATCTTCAAATACCGGAACCCGTGCAACCCGTCCACGCAGACCTTCCCCTTTCCCTTGCCATCAGGATGCTCGCACCCATGTTTGGCAGACCACACATAAGGGTCCCCCTTCACAGCAATCTGGTCGCTGCCGGGAGTGATGGCGTCCCCATTGTACGACCTTGAGAAGTCACTCACATTACTCAGAAACTGCAACGTCTCCGAAAAGGCTAGCCTGATCCCCGGCCTGCTTTCACTTTCCCCCGGCGTCGATGATCCGGCAAAGGCAATGGACAGGATTCCTACGGTGTTCAGCCCGAAATCAATCGTGACAGATGGAGTCTCGTCTGTGTCTGATAAACGGGTGAAAACTGTCGGCCCGCCCTCGCCGGTGATCAGCCCCAAGGGGTTTGTAACGGCGCCGCGGGTGTAGTCGTGCAAAACCCGCACCGGATAGATGGTTTTGGATTTGCTGGCGCGGATGTAGCGGTACCAGCTGGGTTCATGATCGATGCTATGAAGGTTGGACCGCAAATCGGGGGAGAGGTCGTTCCTTTGGCCCGTGATACTACTGTCCAAGATATCTGTGAGAAGGCTGGTCATTTTGTCGGTCAAATTGAGCAGGTTCTGAAAACCGGGTATATAGTGACTCAACCCATAGACGTCATCCGCAGGTACTGGAGAAACGCAACCGAGAGCCTTGCACTTCTTCTGGTCAACCGATATTTAATATACTATTACACTGGGCGCCAACAGGGAGATGACCAGGGCGGCAGTGCGGGGTTCCGACTTCCCCAGATCGGACGATGTGCTTGTTACCCGGTAGTTGGCGGGTGCCCACTATCGGCTTCCTGCAGATCATCCGCGCTGACGCCAGGTCTAAGCAAGCTGCCGTACGTTCTCGTCCTGGGAAGGGGCTTTGATCGGGCCTGTCACGGCATCTCACAAAAGAGTCACCCTGCCTTGTCTCAGGCGGCGAGTCCCCCTTACATAAATAGGCAAATATGTATGCATCAAATCGGGCACAAGTCATCCATGTCGTGTCTTAAGAGATAACAATGTCATATTGGACAGCGCCGCACCTAATATGCCCACCTCGATTCAAACCCACACCAGTGGCTCAAAACACCAATGCAAAGCTCATGCTTATGCCACGACGCCAAACAGCGAAGCGTTTCTAAACAAAAGGAAGAAGTGAAGGTGAAGTAAAAACAAACGTGAGTCTGGTATGTCCACGCATTTCAAACAGAAAAGTGCAAATCCACGCACAAGTGCCCATGGTGCTAAGGTTCATATCAGCGACCACGTTACAGTGTCGTCCATCAATCCGTTAGGTAACCCTCCATCCGATGTTCCAGGACGCCGACAAAGTCAAGAAGGTACTATACACATTCGCTGTCCGTAAAAACAAAACCAATGTTCGTAAAGAGGTCTTATACCGTGCCTCGAAGTCTTTGCTTGCGTGCTAGCCAGTCACCAAGCATATTGTCAAGTTGCTGCTTCTTGTCAGTACGAGCCACTCATTGTGGTGGGAAATCCACTTACTGTCGTAATTTCCGCCAACTTGGCGTTCTGTTCACGGAACAAGCTTCCTGCAACGGGGTGATCCGGTCCAGCAGGCGCCACATCGCTCTTGTCGTAAACCACGACAAGCATGTCTCGGATATCCGAGCTCGAATCAAAGAATGCCCGGAGTTTAGCATCGTTCCAGCTGCTGTGCGCCGTGCTGCCCCCGGTGGATGTTGAGCTAGCAGTCATGGAGTCCTGAGCGCGATGCCTGCCAACCTCGTCGGCGTCGATGAGTTCCGGTGACGGCGACGTGGAGTGGCCGTCCTGACTAGAAGTGTCTACCATGAGCGCAGGCGGGTTGCTAGTGGTAACTGGAGACACTTGTACAGGCGATTCGGAGAGGCGGTCCTTCTCTCGGTCAACAGGCGTGGGTTGAGCTTGTGGTTGAGGTTGAGGTTGAGGTTGAGATTGTAAAGGAGTGACCGTCTTGTCGCTCTGTGCACTTTGTGCACTCTGTACAGTCTGGACGCTCGTTTGGCTGTCAGGAAAAGCGCCAGGCACAGGTCGTGCCTGTTTATCCTCCTTGGACTTCTCCTCGGCCGGTTGTTGCACCTCAGGTTCAGGAGGGTCAATCTCCTCACCAGAAGAGTCAAAATCATCAAGCTCCACGCGTGACTTGGCCTTGGTGACCTTCTGTGGCTTGTCGCTGCCACCACTTCTCGAGGGCATAATCTTGGACAACGACGACTGCTGCAACCGGGTGGTTTCGGGTGATTTGATTCGCTGCTGAGTTGCGACATCAGGATCCGATGAATCATCCTCCACGATGCGCATAGACGCTGGCGGAACGTTCGAAACATTGTTAGGACGACCTTCAGAGGAGATGAACTCGCTTAGTTCCCGGGTGGCAGACTTCTGTGACCCAGAAGCTCCTCCCTTTCTCGCCAGCGATGGCTCTACCCTCGGTTGTTGCTTCTGAAGTTTGCTCGGTGCCCGCTGAGGTTGGTCTTGGGAGCCGCCGCTTGTTCTCGGGGAGGATGGCTGCTCCTCCGAATCTCGATCCTGAGACTCGGTAACAATATCCATTGACCGTTTGCCGAAGGACTCGTCATCATCATCAGCAGCCTTCTTCTTGTCCTTACGCGAGAAGAAACTGCGAATGGCGCTAGGCTTCTTTTCTTTCTCCTTCTTATCCTTGTCCTTCTTTTTCTTATCCTCCTTCTTGTCAGGCTGCAGCTCTTTGTCCATCTTGTCCAGACTAGGCCGCTGCTTGACGGTGCTCTCCGTTGTGGAAGGTCGTGAGTTGTTATCATCGCGAAGCAAGTTAGGCGTAAGCGTGATCTTCTTGGTTTCGACGGTTTCATCCTTAAAGAAAGAGTCGGTGTTCCTGACGGTGCCATTCCTCGACCGGCTGGGCCCCTCTGGCTTCTCAAAGATCTCGCCACTGTCGCGTTTCGAATCGTCCTCTGCAGCGTCCTCTTTGTTCGCCGGTTCTGCGTTGACCTCCTTGATTGTACGGGTCTTCAGTGGTTCTACCTTCGCTGTTTCGTCATCCTGGCTCTCGTCTGTTGACTGTTGCGCCGTAGCCTGTTGCTGCTGTTGTTGTTGCTGCTGCCCTTGTTGTTGCGAAAACAGTTCGTCCATGTCCTCTTCATCTGAGGAATAGTCAATGTCCGAGTAGTCGACATACGTCGGTGCGGCGAACGCGACAGTCTTCTTCTTCTTCCTTAGAGCGGTCTTGAACGTGCTCTTGGATTTCTCTCCAGCCTGGTCTCCGAGCATTGTAGCGGAAAGCTGATCTAAGTCAGAAAGGTTCATCTCTTCCATGGAGGGAGCGACTACGTCAATATTCCTGTGCTTGTTCAAGCGCGCCAGTCTTTCAGTCGGCGTCTCAATGTGCTCTGCCGGAAGATATCCTAAGTCCTAGTTAGAGCCTGCCGACACAGGGAGCGCGAGAAGCCGTACCAATGCTGCTGTCTTTTACCACTCGCACCAGCCACCAATAGCTGTTGCTGTCATCCAGCAGAACCATTGTATCACCCTTTGTCGCATTCGCTTGGCCTTCTACAGTTGCGACGAAGGTGTGGAGCGCGTAGACGAATTCGAAATCGATGTCCTCTGCTTCGTGTAAGCACTCACTGCCCCAGCCACCAGCAATGAACATGGAATCATCAGAAAAGGAAAGGTCGTCATCATCATCATCATCTTCTTCGATCGAAGGTTTGTAGGGTATAGTGAGTGGAATGTCATTCCCGTCGTCGTCGTCGTCGTCGTCATCGTCGTCATCGTCGTCGTAGTTAGCGATTCCTGCTGCCTCATCCCATTCCGCCCTCTCCAGCTCAGCACGTCGTTGCGCAAACTCCTGATGCCTCGGTTCCCCAGACCCGCGCAGTCTAAGAGGACGTATTACAATAGGAGCATGTAGCGTCAAACCTTCCTTTAACTTGCCTTTATGGCTTTTGCTCTGCGGAGCATACCAGCATTTCTCGTCATACACTCTAACATCTGATCCTTCGCCGCTACAGAAGTCGTCGTTCGACTGGTCAAGATATCGGTCGTGGTTATTTGTATCTCGGTCCTACTCGGTATACTCACCGCGAAGATGATGATGACGATTTGAAGCAGAAGCCTTGCTGTGCTGCCGGGAATAGTGTGCAGGTGGATGTTCAGGGGTTTTGACATAAGGAGATGAGGACATGGCTTCGCTGAAAGTAGGAGAAACAGGAGAGTCGTGGTCTCTCATAGCCGGTAGAGAATCGATTCTCTGTGGCCAGGGCCGGGGAACTGGCCGGGGAACTGGAATCGAATTGTACCCACCATCTTCAATCGAAGGAGAACTCGATATCTTATCCATCATATCATCGTCCAAGCTCTCGTCCGTATCGTCCATGTCTCCATCATCCGAGTTGCCCGAAGTGCCGCCATTTTGCGCCACAGCCAGCGCATCTTGCTGCTGCTTCTTGCTTGCATCGTCCATCACGCCGCCGTTGAGCCTTTGAGAGATCTCGCCCGCAAGGTCGTCTGAATCTGACACGTCGCCGTCTCCTTCAGTATTGGACCAGGACAGCCTGGGGCTGCGCGCTTGGATCTCTGCGGATTCCTGGGCGACCTCTCGGAGGGTCTCAGCCTGATGAGCACCCAGTGAACCGTGAGGACCTCGGGGGTGGTCTTTCGCAGACGGTGCTTCGTGATCCTGGAGATCGATCGTGTCTGGATTCGCGACAAAAGAGACAAAAGGTCAGCGTGACATAACAGCAAAGAGCAAGTAATTGGTTTCTTTTTTTTTTCTTGGAGGGGGGAGGGGGGCAGGATTTCTGTAAGATTGATCGACCACGGTTCTAGCCGTTAGACCAAGACGAGTGCAGGCTAGAGCTCAGACATAAAAGACCAGAGCCAATTGGGAAAGGAGAGGAAAAGAAGTTGGTGTTTAAGGGAATGTTTAGTGTTGCGCCAGGAGGAATGGAAGAAGGCGCGGGTGTTTTGGGTCGCATAAACATACCAGCGCGAATAATGTGAGGCCTCGTCATATTGAATTAAGGTCGTGGGCCAGCACGGGAGCCAGCCAATGCGATGGGAGATTCGTGAGTGATATGTCGGAGACGACAGGCGTCAGGGTCGTGTCGTACGTGGTATTGATGGCACAGAGTATACTCGTTCCGTGCAGGCGTCGTCACAGCCTTTGGGATTATTTTCCTCTGGACTTGGCCGCCAACCCCCTTGAGCCCCGTCAGATGGCAAAATGAGACCCTGGTAGTCGAGGTGTGGCCGGTAGTACTGCTGGTACTATCATGGAGTGAGGGTGACAAAAAGCCGGGGCGTTAGGCGAGTGCCAAGGAACGGGCGAGCGTAGGTTGGACTGGAGCTGAGAGGGAAAGGCTGGTGGACGGGGTATGAAATTGCGACTCCGCTGTTTCGTCGGCTGAGAAAAGGGCGCTGGCCTCTGATTCTAGCGGCGGGTGCGAGACTGTCGTCGGGGGGGCCAGGGTACGCCGTGCCGGGTGGGTGGTGGTTGATTAGACAGGCGTATACGCCTCGATTGAAGGGTCGAGGAGAGGATCTCGCTTGTTGGATATGCGGGTACACAGATGCGGTTAATTGTGGTTTGCTAGCAGCAATCAGGCGAGAAAATAAGTAGACGTAATTGCAGCTGCAGCTGTTGGTCGTGTGTTGCGTCCCGCTGAGTCCGTTCGTTGTCGGGTCAGTCTAGGAGTGCACTGCTTGCTTGTTGGACGTAGGAGAGGGGGTTGGCCTGGATGGCTTGCTTTGCTAGGCTGGCCTGGTACAGAGAGATGGGAGGGGAGGGGAAAAAAAAAAAAAAAAGCCGGGGCTATGAATAGAACAGGTTATTGGCGCACTGGTAAAAGACGCGGCGCAGGCCAGGCGAGACGAGCAAGGCGTAAGGAAAGTATCCGTAGTTTAGGGTGGAGGAAGATAGTCGAAAGGAGTGACAAGGGCACAGAGGAAGATTATGAAGCTCTCCAAGGATTGCCCAAGAACTTGTTTTGGAGGGTGGAACTGTCAAGAATAGGAAGAGGAGAAGGGGGATAAAAAGAGACTGCGTGGAGGGATCTGCCCAAAAAAAAGATTTGTGTGGGTGTGTGATTGAATATGACGGAGGTAGGAAGACAATAGAGGCAAAGGGAAAAAAGAGATACAAAGTACGGATACAGATAACACACACACACAAGGAAGGGGGGAAACCTATTTGGTTGGGAACCTTTGATGTGTGGTGCTGGGTATTGGACCAAATCAAAATTTGACTCTAATATGAGAAATGCTGCAGGAGTTGGGAGAGATTAGACCAAGATGTGTGATAGTAATAGACGGCCCAGGGGGGGGGAGGGAAAGGCAAGGTATCCCGCGCGGTGAATTGTGCTTCCTTTTTTAGGGTGCAGGTGCAGGTGCAGCAACTGTGTGTACCCAATTTCAGGCACATGTGAAGCCCAGAGTGATGTGGATGGTGATGGTGTGCCTGCCCAGGCGCTCACTGATGTCTTGCACTGCTCACTCCAGGGGAATCCTCGGGTTGATCCCCAGGCTGTTCAGTTCTGTTCTTTTCTGCTGCCTCTCAATTCTTGGAGCCGGCAGCAGAGTGGATGACGATCGAATTGGTTTTTTTTTTGAAAGTTCCCTGCAAGACGTTTGGCTAGGGGGGAAGGACTTGAAACAACTGGGCTCTGACAAGGGGTTTGCTGGGTATTTCTGCTGATGTCCCCCCTCCAGTTACACGTCTGAGGTGGACCAGCCAGTCATTTTGCAGGATTCCAGTCTCCTTGCGAAAATGATCTCTAATGGGGGTCTGGAATTGTCAGAAACCATATCTATCCCTTTCTCAGCTTCCGCCCATTTCGTCCTTTTTTTTTCTTTTTTTTTCTCCCCTCTATTAACCTCTGTATTCTTCTCGGCTCTCTCCTCTGTACCAACTAGGCTGCATTTCCCGTTATCGGGGTACAGGTACTTTAGTCATATTCCCTGGCCTGAGGGGATACCTCGTAATGTTAGAAAGATAGGGGTCCGGTCTCTAGTTCCTTGGTTGGGGTTGGCTAGGAGGGAACATTAAGCTCTCAGGCCCAGCCCTGTCCATTTAGGAAACGGCCGTTTGGCATTGGCCAGCTGGGACCTGCTCGACCATTGCCGCTACCTGAAGATGGAAAGGCTGTCGCCCATCACCTACTAGAGCGTCATAGGGAAGTACATGTGGCGACGCACTAACACGGCTGGTGATATAAGTGTCTTCCTATTCCGGCCCTAGCACAGTTGGGCGCTTCTCACGTTACCCACCTCCATCGCAACTTCCGTCCTTCCACCTCACCTCCGCCAATGCATAGCCCGCCATAAATTGTCTTGTCCGCATTCATCTATGCTGTCTCCTCTGCATGATGGAGACAACACAGCGCCTCCGTCATGCTGTCCAGCCACTGGCTCCCAGGACTATGCCCGACCCGCTGAACTTTCAATACTGGAGACAATGGACCTACTGTCCTCTATCCACGGATCGAGCATCGGCCCAGACGTCGATCCATCTCGACAAAGCCGCCACTCGTCCGTCTGCGATTGTTGACAACGACATTTTGGCAGCAGCAGCAGCACTCCCTTCCGAATCGCCTCCCACGTTGTCCGTTTCTTTTTTCCATCGGCAACTGAACCTCCCAGAACGAATCTTCCTTCAGCTTCGACCACTCAGTCAAGCCACCTCCATTCAGCAACCATCAACAAATGTGTCGCATGTCACGTCAAAGCGGTTGACCCGTTGAGTCTGGGCTCACGCCTAAACCTGAATACTTTTGCTTCCAGTTTCTCCCATCCGCAAACAGCGTCTTCGCTTCCCACCAAAAGGCTCAGCTGGGTGACACAATGGTACACCATGGCTTTCCCTGACCATATCAGATCTGAACCTTCTACTAGATGCACCAATCAGTCGTGATTTACTACCGAAGAATGCCACGTAATAACCCGCAATGTGCCACTCCTTCGCCTATACCATCCTTCGCGTTTTGTAACCAGCAGACTGTTTTCGAACCAAAAAAAAAACAAAAAAAAAGTCCTTTTTACTTTTCATATCTCTCCGCCACAGGGTTCGAACGACGCATCGCGGCTATCTTCACGGATCTTACTGCCGCACGTAGCATGGCCCAGGGATATATCACTTCTCCAGAAAGCCCTATGACTGAACTCTGTGTTGATCAAACGCAGGGTCCTTGCTCGTAAACCTGTGCGTTCTTGCATCCACCGGAAGTTTGCCGGAGAACAAGCCAAAGCTCAGAGTCTTCCTGGCCGCAGGAGAAAGTCAATGGCTTGCCGTCACTGGCCGGCGTGGTGCATGTAAATGAGAAGAGAGGCCCAGCTGAAACCCAGTCCTTCGGGACCGATGACCCGGATAAACTGCGTGATGCGCATGCGGTAGTCAAGTAGTGTCACTGCCGCTCGTCCCATTCATCCGAGCTGCTCCGGGCGTTGCGGTCCAGTAGACCTGTCGTATCATGCAGTTTGCCCAAGAAGAGGCATTGGTAATCCGATACTCGGCCTGCAGATGCGATGATCAAGTCCGCTAGGATCACTAGAGTACGCAGGTCTGTCATTCGCATGACCGAGCTTGGCGTCATGATCTGCCTTGCCTTGCCTTGTCGAGAGCTCATGACAGATCGCCCAAGCAGCTGAAGAGTGATCTGACAAGCTAACCCGCCCTTACGGGAGTGCCTGACTAGCAGTGATGAATCGACTCATTGATGCATGTAATTGTCTCACCCAGCCAGCATTTTGGGTGTGGCTCTCTGGGCTCACTGGGCGCACGAATGAGCCATGTTTCTCTCTGAAGCCTGTCTCTGGATGCCGAGACACACAACAACTCACAGCCTTGCAAAAAAGCTGACCATATGTCTGAGAAGGGAGACTGTTTAAGATTATCTCCTTCTTGGGGATGCATTCTTCTGTTGAGACAAGAAATAAGGGTCCACCACATGAAGAGTTACAATTGGGTCGCCTTTTTTTTTTTTTTTTCCTGGTGATTTGGGGAAAGACGTGGGAACGGCGCCGAGGAGTTGATTCCAGACTATTTGCTCTACATCATATCTGGAAGCACTTGTCACTTTGCAATATGGTGAAATCACCATATCCGCCACTGCAACTCGAACCCGTCATTTACTCATGATATTGGGTCAGATATGAGAAGCCAAGTCTGCAAGCGTCCGGCAGTAAGCGAACTGGATTGTACAGGCTGGGCGGATCCCTACCCTTGTCTTTAGTCCTGCCGCTTTCTTGGAGCTCACCATGATCCAACTCCATTGCAGGAACGCAAGACTAATCCCTAGTGCCACAGCCCATCCTGAGTGAGAACCGCTGCGTGGCAACATGTTGGCCGAGACGTACATTGATAGCCTCTATTCAGGAATATCAGTTTGTGGCGAGGATGTTCATACCCCAATTATCGTAGTCAGGTTGGATCGAGGAGCATAATTTCTTGGCACCATAGGCCGACACGCACCGAATATCAGTCTCAGTGGCTGGTCTTGTCCAAAGATTGGACTCTAACAGAAAGGAGGCACTAGCATATCAGGAGCTGTGAGGGAGCACAGATTCCCTCGGACAACAAACAGACAGGCATTCCGGTCAAAGGCTCCAGTATCTGTAAGGGTATTGGCAAGCTCATACGCAGCATTAACAGGCTAATCTACACTGTGAGCCGAGTGATATTGCTATCTTGCGTAGTCGCCTCCCCTCGTCATTGTGCAACTTCGGTCTAGACGTCTGTGAGCATGACAGAGCTATATACCACTTACAGATTCTAGTTACATATGTGTATAACTCGAGTAACATGTTCTCGCTTGAGACTGTGATAATGGCCACGTTGAAACCAAGACAACTTTGTCATCAGCACCAAAGGCTTTTCACCCCTGTTGTGATTTGCCATAGGGATTATAAAATGTGTGTTCCCTTTTACTACCCGTGGGAATCTCAGGCTTGGTAACATGGGACTGAAAGACCAGCTCATAACCTTATATGCCAGGCCGTCTGTGATGCTTTTTCCATCAAAAGGGTACGCTCGCATGTATATCCAGGTGGTTTACATCAGCATGATATTTCCGCCGTTTACACGCACGCTCCCAAACTACCAATCACTGATCGAACCAGTAATGCAGAAGTTGTTGCAGGTTCCTCGATATTGCCGAACCTGATACTTGATTGTCGAGCTTGCCGGATTAGCGATGACCGTCAAATTAGCGCTTTACAGTGATTCTAGGTATCATACACACGAGCCACCACTGCTGTTGTTTCCACAAAACAATGGTTCAATAATCCAGAAAAGTGCCGTTGGACGTCTGTTGCGGGTTGTAATCGCAATGATTACCGGTATGTCTGCAGTTTAGAAGCTATTCAGTGGCATCACGTCGGTAACAGTTTCGGGGAAGAGCTGGGCGACAAGAGGTTATATGGCGGCTGTCGTTCATATACACTGCGTAAATCGTGTCTGGTCTGTTGGTGAAAATTCCACGACTCGTCCAGCCACTTGCCAGACTACTGTACCCGGGCCATGTAATGTCCAGGTGTTTGCGAATTGGACAGCTGAAAAGGAACTGGCTGAGTTGCAAGAAGACACAGGTTCGAGCTTGTCCCAACAGGTGCCGTTCAAATCTGAGCCGGTATTTGGAACGCGCGAAAGAAGCTCAAACAAGTTTTTGCTCGTGATGGCTAGGGATATTTCCCATTTCAGTATCTCATCCCTTAAAAAAAAAAAGAAAAAAAAGGAGAGGATAAACTGAAAAGTGCTTGGCTCATGCCTCAACCATTGTAAGTATGATTTCCCAGCAAGACCTGATCATTTCAAAGCTCTTCATTGTCACGTTTGGTTCGAATTTTCCAAGGAGTTGACAGTTGCAAGTGGGAAAGGAGCCGTGGTTGATTCGGCCATCCCGGATGTAGGTCTGTGAAAGTCAACTACATGTCCATGACTGCGTGTCTGGAGCCGGGTTTATCAACTCATTTGAACTCCCAAAGACTCAATACGAAAAGGAACGTTGATGCCGACAATATATCGTTAGCCTCTGATTCAGTTATCAGTCCAATCAATCATTCATTAAACATAATGTTGTCACCACTTAAACCCCTTGTAAGTGGCACATTTCGAGATAGTGAAATAAGTCACATAAATCAAGGTCTTTGCAATTCATCATTCATCAAGACCATACACACTTGGTGAGGATCATGGAATCTGAATAATAAACGACAGCCCGTATCAAGCCGATGATCCTTGACATCATTTCTGGTATTTATGAGTTGAGTTGTTGCCCACATAATATCACATGGTATCTTGTGATGATTCTTCGGTTTGGTAGAATTGAGATATGGAGGTAATGTACTCTGGCCAATGTTCGTTTCTGTTCCAAGAGCATACAGGGTTTATTGTAGACTTCACAACAACTATCCAACGTTTGCTTCGGTTCTTAAAAAAAGCAATGTAAAACTGCACCTAAATTGCATCTTGGTTCTCAACCCAAGGTGATGTGCAACTCGGCCAAACCCGCATCAACCAAACCCCACAAAATAAGAGCCTCATGAGGCCGTAACCCAGCAGCCAATCACACAACACCTTCGAACCACCGACTTTCTGCCACCATGAGGGCTTCGTGGGACAGGGTTGCTGTGCCGAATATCAATTTGTCTTAGACAGACGGTGGTGAAGTGAGTTACGAAACAGAAGAACGAAATTCAACAGCTAGAGCTAGAAAGAACCTTTACTTAGGTACATAACGACGTGCTAGTTTAACTCGCTGGCCGTCAACATGGCCGTCTAGATGACGTCTCCTCAGAGACACTCGCAAATTGACTTGAATGGCAGGTTTAATTTGCAGACATGTCTGTCGTCGTGTACAGCGGTCTGCAAGCAATCGCCGAATCTAGCTCTCAGCGTCCTAGTCGTCAGGTAAACACAAGCAAAGCGAGATTCGAGCTTGAGTGCTTCTTGCAAACAAAAACTGGTCGCGCTAAAATACCATTTACGGTACTACAGAGACAAAACTTCAGTTATTAGCTTTTTACAAAGGGGGTTACGCGCCCCTTGTATTTTTGATAATATGATGCCCAAGTGGTTCAAGTATTTGGCTAGTCAAGGGTATGTATGACTTCATGGTAACAAGCTGCCGTAATGGTATGTGGCTAAGAGGCTTTCTTTCAAGGAGGCTTAAGAAGGGGTAAGTTGAGCGAGCCCAAGAATAGCAACATGCTCAAATCGCCGACCCTCTGGCCACCCTTTTTTTTTTTCATATCTACACGCCCTTGTTTGCCCTCTGCAGAGCCTTAGTAAACTGCTCAACAAAGTCGTAACAGTCTACAAACGTATTATACAAAGGTGCCGGTGCAACACGAACAACGTTCGGCTTTCGTTCATCAATAATTACTCCGACCTCCTCAAAATACTCCATCACGCCATCCAGCAACCCGTCATTAAGTAACAGACTCAGCTGAGCGCCCCTCTGTTCCGGATTGCGCGGCGTGATGATCCTGTACAAATCTTTTACATCCGCCGGCACAGCCTGGTCAAGCAACTTCTCCAGGTATGCCGTCAGCCTCAACGACTTCTCGCGCAGGGGCGCCACGCCGCCTGCAAGCTCAAAAACTTCGAGAGAAGCACAGAGACTGGTGATGTCGAGGACGCTGGGATTACTTAGCTGGAAACCCGCCGCGCCGGGCGCCGGGTGAAATTTGGTTGCCATGATGAATCGGGATGATTTGTCATTGCCCCACCACCCGGCAAACCTGTTCGTGTACCCACGTGCCGAATCAGGGTCCTCGACGGATGTCGTAACCCGAGAGTGCCGGTCGTGAACAAAGGCCCCGCCGATGCAACCAGGCCCGCCGTTGAGGTACTTGTACGTGCACCACGCCGCCGCGTCGACGTCCCATTCGTGCAGGCGCAAGGGCACATTGCCCACGGCATGCGCAAGGTCCCAGATCACAAAGATGGAATGCCTGTGGGCAAATGCCGTGATGGCCGGGATGTCGAGCAACTGGCCGGTGTAATACTGGATACCCGGTAGCAGAAGCAACGCGGCTTCAGAGGCGTGAGCCTCGATGGTGGAGAGGATGTGCTCGGTACTGATTGTGCTGTCCTTCGTCGCATCCTGCGGCTCGATGCAGACCATCGATGTTTCCGGGGAGAGGCCGTGGTGTCTGATCTGAGTCTCGACGACAAACTATACACTTCAATCAGCCTCAACTTACACTGATGCTTACACATGTGAAGAAATCTTACGTGATCGCTGGGAAAGGCCTTGCTCTCCAAGATGATTTTATGCCTGCCGTTCTTTTGCGGTTTGTAGAAGGCTGACATCAGCAAGTGGAGGTTCGCAGTCAACGTCTGCATGACGGCGACCTCAGATGCGTCAGCGCCGACGATGGGGGCCATCATCTTGGACGCCCTGGCATCAACGTTGAGCCATGTCGGCAGGGGCGAGTCGTCCAACGGCTTGAAGTGCCCCTGGACGCCTTGTGTGGCCCAAGTGGTCAGATATTGCTGTATCCTCTCAGCGGTTCGCTTGGGTTGCAGACCGAGAGAGTTGCCGCAGAGGTAAGTGCATTTCTGCTGCTTCCGCTCGGCATTGCCTGAACCATCGTCTGTCAGACCAGAATGTCAGCTCACAAAAAACATCATGGCCAGAGAGTGCCCGCGGAGACCAGGCAATTAAGGATCCCAGATATTGATATTGCCCGATGGATGGGCGCAAGTACAGACGCGGCATGGCTATCACATCAAAATACTGACCTTTCTTGGCGAGGGTCTTGCTGGTGACCTCTTGCTTGGTTGGAATAACGAATTCATCCCGGGTGCGCCGCAGGAGGTCGTTCTGGTCCAGTGAGACGGCGTGGTCCCTGCCGGAGGTATCCATGCCTGAAGACATTGTGGGTTGAGACTGACTAAACTCCCGCAACGACGTCGGGCCCCCTTTAGCCTTGGCTTGAGGTTGGGGGAGGAAGGGCGGGGGGTGGGGGTGCAGGCGTACGGTTGAAAGTCTGATAGGAAGTTGGATGAAGCGGATGGAATATCCCTTGGCTCGTATGACGATCCTCGAATGTTCAAACGGGACTTGGGTTTAGAGCTGGATACGATACGTAAAGTAACCTTGGTTTTTTGTCAAAATGACTCCAAGGAAAGTGAAGTCATCATGCACCAAGAACCCCAACGGCCAGAAAAGAATATTCCCTCGCCTTGTGGCGCCACAGTCCAATGAGGGGTCCCGGCTGCCGTGGGGCCCGTGAGGACAGTTACAGAAGGCAGGCATGTTGGCATGTCTGGCAGTGTCATCACTCGGCCGTGTACGTACCCCCTGTATGGAAAACGGAGAATAGCTGTGTGAGCGACAACGTCCTGGTGGATGGTTGAGGGCAGCAAATGCTCATTCTGAGCACTGAAGAACCCAAAACCGCTCTACAGTCCCACTGCGTAGAAAGTGCAGGTTTGTGAAAATTGGAGAGGGAAGCACTGTGAAGGTTCCAGGCCCTCTTTTTCTCCAAAAAAATCTTGCAATGTGGGATGAGGGTCTAAAACCCACTTGAGTTTGAGGCCCAAGAAGATACAATTTTCAATTTCACCTTCATCCCGTTCCCCTACTGGGAGTACTTTTAGTTGTCATTCAGGTACCTCAGCCATGTACTCAGGTACTTCGATAACTCAAGCGGTTTGTTATCATCATTTCCCAATCCCGCAAAACATGCATCGTGACAGATGAGAAAAAAAACTTTTCTTCCACGAACAATAACGTGCTCGAGCTAAAGTTGTCAGATTACGAAATTCAAGTGTTTTCATTACCCCTTCAAAACCCCAGTATTACCCCCTCATTACCCCATAAACTGGCCACTGCGGGGTTACTTGACTCGTTTCTTGGCTCGAGCAACCGCAAGTCTGGGGCACGGGGGGAAAGCTTCCCATGGAGGACCGGCAAGGTACAAGAGAAGAAAATGGCGGGGGTGGCTCCGAGTCGTAAGGAAGGTACCTGAATTTATTGGACATTAATCTCACAGGAATACGGATGACCTGCATATCGATGGCTGAGGTGGGCTTTCGGAGGAGGGGTGAAGGGAAGGGGACGGGATGACCGGGACAAAGCCCGTCTCCGTCAATAAAAAAGCTTCGGGCGATCACGGCGGGCTGTTCGGCAAAGCGATTATGGGGAAATCGATGTTTCACCTACCCCCGACCGATTGCCTTCCGGGGAGGAAAGGCACCGTATCTTCTCGTCAACCGGGCTGACCTGCAGATCCCGGAGCAAGAATTCAACGTGCCGTTTCGAGATTGGTCTAGCTGGAAGATTTTGGTTTGTATCAGCAGTTAAGTGAAGCACAGGCAAGGCAGTCTATGCCGTGTAATTCCCAGGCAATGCAGTCCATGTGGAAGCATTCCCGTCACGGGTCCCGGAAGAGGATCACGTCTTCATCGCCGCTGTCCTGCAACATCGGAGGGGAAGGCTTTCCCGACCCGGATGATCTGCGCCTTTGGTTTCTAGTTTCATGCACCTCCCAGGGGGGTGGGTGAGATGCTGCCCACCAGCCAACGCTAACTCTTGACACTATTGTTGCCGTTGTATCACTAATTCTGGTCGGTTACCTACGCCTTCTCCTTCTTTTCTATTTAATTAGTTTCCATCTCTGTGTCGTAATAAACTTGGCCCCAATGCATGCTCAAGAAGAAAACAAGGGGGTTGGACTTGAGGCGGTTTAACAAATAAATAAGGGCTTGACGTTGGGACAGTCTCGAGTGGGGACTGGCGGCAAGTGAAGAGGCTCTGCTTGAATGCCGATTACACAATAGTGTACGGGGCTGACAAGGCTCAAGTCAATGCACCAGGGCAGAAGTGCCTCAATGATGGAAGTTGAACCAAGGTCGACAGGAAGAGGTTGAACTGAAGAGGCCATCTCAAGAAAAATGGCGTCGATGTCGGAAAGGATCTTCTGGGTTACTCAATTAGGACGAGCCATTTTCATGTGGTCCGTTTCAACTACCGGGAAGAAGATACCTCAAGGAGTGACTTGGTTCTTACATGAGCAATGGCTCACGGCGCCTTTCCTCATTGGCCACAATGCAGCAGTTGCGACAATTGCAACATACAACTGAATAGGAGAAAGGAGGCCTCTCTTTCTGTTATGGTATGAAGGAAGTCATGGATGAAGGCATTGGCCGAGTTGATAGTACGTATCTCGGCTGCTGGCAATAATGTGGATTGCAATGCCGCAATACCTGCAACAACTTTGCAACTCCCCAACCAAAAACCCGCCACAAGGGGACAAGGGGGGGACACGTATGTGTATCGTGAGCTTTTTGCTGTACTTTGAGTCACTGTTGACAAAGACGGCGTATGCGTCCCACCTAGACTGGACCTGAAACTTGTCTCTCTCTCTCTCTCTTTCGCTTCCTCATCGTGACCTGGAGTTGGAATGGTGCCATTGACGAAAACCCTGACGACAGGAAATTGCTTTGAGGCATCGTGACCTCGTTTCCAAGCTCCGGTGTCAAGAGGAGCCAAGCCGAGAAACCTGGGGGAGGAATGGCAAGTGACAAACTGAGTTTTTCTAGGTTTTTTGTGGCGGTGCAGGGGTTTATTGGGCCAGCCGTTTCTGCTTTCGGAGCGCTGTTGGGGTAAATTTAGCACTGGCGGCGGGACGGCCGCGAGTAGGTACGTATTTCTCTCACTCCTATACGGTACGTAGTTTGCTTGCCCCGTGGAAGGATCCACCGGCCAAGGTGAAAATTCTAGAATTCTGCGCAAGCCAAGTTCAGGTACGTCAGGTAGATCAGTCAGGTACGGTGAAGCGACAGAGAGAGGGAGAGCAAGTGAGGTACACTACGTAGTCTCTGAGAAGGGTATTCGTATCGTTTCCTAGGTAGTCAAAGAACATTCGGATACAGACAGGTACCATTTTGGGCTCTTCAGCCTTTTCAGAAACGGGATATCAAGCCGACGTTGTCTCCTCCATTTCAGGCAACGGGTGGGTTATGCGGGCAGGTTTAAAAAATAAAAATAAAAAAATTGACCAGTACTATTGCGCAATGCTCGCTGCAATGTAGCCTGCGCGACGTCTGCTGTGTGGAAAAAGAGAAAGAGGGGAGAGGTACGTACGTCCACCATAGCAAGAAACCCAAGTTTGGCGGACTTTGGCCTCCATTCCAGTATCAGGACCAAATATTACCCAGACCCATCTACATCCACCGGTAATTAGACGCAAGCCCGCAGGTGACGGCGGCGGCGGCACCAGCATGTTGGTGAAATCTTTTTGGACGAAACAAAAGACCTTGCCAGACCGCGTGATGAGGGGTCAGACACCGGCATTGTTTTACAATGGCTTTTCCATTTGGTAATGGCGACGCGGGCTCGCGGGGACCTCGATGGTCAGGGTCTCGGCCGGCTTGGGGTCCAGATAAAAAATGTACAGGGAAGGTGGAGAGACAGAGAATGAGTAGAGAAAGGTTGGGGAGAAAAAAATACCATGAGTCCTGAGGAACTAGTCAAGGGAGACGGACGGGACTGACTAACTGACTGGTGATGGGTGGCGGGGACAAGTGTAACAAAGCAAAGTACATAGATGTCAGAATGTGAACCAAGCATACCAAGAAACTGGGGAAAGGGGGAATTTTGCAACGGCATGGACAGCGGATAGAGCATTTCAAACTTGGCCCAACTCGGCATCCATGCCAGGCTATGATTCTTGCCATCCCAAATCTCCCCAATAGGGCCAAGTCGGTCTGTCCCGTGCCCCCTCAAATGCTGCACGATCAAGTAATCTGGGGGTAATGGAAACTGGCATACAAAGTTAGAACCTTTCGGGGCCCGGCCGCTGAGCGCTACACAGTACTACATAGTGCACCGGTACGCATTTACACGCCAGTCCGCCAGGACATACAAAGTATTAGGCGGGGGGTTTGTGGGGTCAGCCGCCTGCGCTCCCGGGCCATTCGGGGCGTGGCCAGGGCCATCCCCAACAGATGCCATCTCGTGATCCCTCATATTTTAGATCGTGACTGTACTTGTGTCTTTTGTTATTCAGAATACTCCATAGAAGGCCCAGGCGTTGTTGGGGTAGGTGCAACAAGTCCACACAAACCAACCTGGGGTAAGGTGGGAAAAGGGGTCTCGGGTTTGATTGTTGTGGCCTCTTCCGCTGTTGTTTTTGGGGAAACTGGAGATTCCGGCCCCAGGCGTACACTAATGGAAACAACATTAGGGACGAACATGGCTCTGTCCGTACAGTGTTACAAACGTCGATTGGCGGGTTAAACAGGGGAGTTGTTGTCTTCGTCGTGACTCGACTCGTAACTAGTAAAAGTATACGAACATGGCGTACATGGCAAGTACTTATGTGATTTGTGTATACTTTTGCGAATCCGTCCTACCAACAAATCTCTTACTATCACCTTCTTTTACAATGGGGATTTAATGGGGAGCTACAACTCAACGCGTATCAGCCGCCGGGGCGCCGAGGCTCGTCACCGGGGGGCGCAATGAAAAGCATGGCTGGTGCTGGGGTACAAGGCCGGTGCTGACAGGCGGGCGTTTTGAGCTGCAACAATAAAGAGAAGCGGTAAAAGGTAGCCGATACTTCAGGCCTGGGCCCGGATCTGTTACGCGGAGCAGTTGAAGACTACGCAACTTGAGGCCTTTAGGAAGCTGGCACCCAGGTACTGAAGTACCACCGCTTGTTGTTACCGGTCCTTCTTTAGTTGTCAGGACAAGGTCCTGTGCGTTAAACAAGTTGTGTTCCATTGGGATGATGAAAAGGGCAGCTGCAAGTGTTGGATTTAGGGGGGGAAAAACCAAGTCAAGTGGGTATTGCGTGTACAGTCTCTGTCAGATACGTACCGTTTTATCTGGCAAAGGTAGGAACTTATTTTTTTCTCCCCTCAGAAAGGCGAAAACAAGACGGCGGCTGTCAGTGCCGAGTTGTCGGGGGCGGCGCTGATAAGACGTGCTTACGATAGCTACTCGTGTAGGGCGGATAGCCGGTACGCACTTGAATTCATTCTGGCCACGGGGGCTGGCAAAGCCGCGCGCGGGAAGACCGGCAGCCCGGATTGTGCATTTGACACTTTTGCAATGCCGACTACGAGCTGATTCTGATCAGTAGATGAGATCCATATGATTCTGGGCCATGTCTTGAGTTGTCTTGTGTTCTGTCCTGTTGAAGGCAGTCGAAGCCAGCTTTTAGGTCTGGGGCTGGGGTGGACACTGGGTCTGTTTCTGACAACCAGATCTACGATTAACCTCCATTGCCCCCTCTTCCCTACCGGCCCGGCTGCTGCATTTCGCAACATAGTACGGACGGCGATTACCTTAGCCCCCCTTCTTCTATGCTTGCTGTACTGCCCAGTCTGCCGGAGGAAGAAGAAGGAGGGACGGAGGAAAGAGCATGAGGTTTAAGAAAAGGTCGGGTGGCTGCTCCGACATTGTGGTGACCAGCCAAACACACTAGGTATGGCAACAAAAAGAAGAAACTAGACTGTGTGGGGAAGAGCCTCGAATAGCCGTACGAAGAGCTACGTACTCCAAGTACTCGAGGTTGGAGGTATATACTTTGACGTGGGAGTATATACCTGTGAGAGGCAATGTACTCAGTACGTACCGAGGGGCGCATCGTTCAAGTGGAGGTTCGGGCCCTTGGTAGTTCCTTGGTGCCCCTCCATTGGCGCATGTGATGTGTCCCATGTGGCAGTTCCCAGGCCTCACTTGCCTCAGCGAGGGCTCAGGTACGGCGGAGCGACAGGCAGGTACCTTACCGAGCTGGAGCGGTCCCCAGGCGCAACAGCCCCGGCCAGCCCCAGGTGTACTACAAGCTATGTATGCGTCCTGATCTCACCTAGGTACCGCTCCTCAATACGTACCTGCCTTGCTTCGACTTGTCTAAAATGAAAAAATACTACCGATACTAGCTCTGTTTGGCCAATCATAAATGCCATTCGTGGCCTGTGACTGCCCGAAGAGGATTAGATCAGTTTCTATTTAGTAATAGCTCGACATTTTTGCTGCAGGTGAAGTCATCATCGTGATCGAACTTTGTTCCCCCAAGAGCGCCGTGGGAGCTCACGAAACTGCAAGGATGCAGCAAACGTGCTTCCCTTGGAGGGGCAGAAATGTACGAGCATCATTGCAGTTTTTTGTTATTATGTTTTTTTTTTTCCTTTCCCTCCCCTTGATTTCCAAAAATTCTGGAGTCACCTGGCTTAGTGTAGGGTGGGGAGCAAGGAAGGACGGTTGTTGCATAGCATGGCAAACCGTCAGTCACTAGGAACTTTTTCTTCAAACTGGTTCCCAAGTATAAAGACTTGAAAGGGCCCTGTTGTATCGTGAGCGTCTCGTCCTTGATTGACCTCGTTTATTCCTTCAAACCTTTTACCCTCCCCTCAACCCAGCCTCAGCTTCAGGTTCCTTCTTCTTTACCGTTGCTGCTCAGGCTTTTCCGTCCAAGTTAGTGTCTCATTACTCTCTCCTACACTACCTTACACGACCATCCATCAGTCTTATCTCCCACGCTCTTACACCCGTCCCTCTGGCCTAAACGGATGCTCTTTTGCTGACGCCTCTGTTCTCTCGTCAGCCCGCAGCCAATAATAACCAACCCAGCTTGGCTTCCCCCTTTTCTCGCCTTGCCTCTCCATCCACAGCCCTGTGGCTACATTGTGTCCGCCCGCACTGCTATTTTCAGCTGAACGCGGCCCTGCAACATCTTTCGAAAGTGAGTAAACCCAGGTGCACTAGCTTCAGGGTCCTTATCTCTCTCCCCGTCTGCCCCCTCGGCGTCGCCACATAAAAAAAACAAGAAAACCACTCCCAGCGAATTGGCCTAAGCCGGTTGGATGGCTGTGTTGCCCGGGATCCCCATTATCTACGTCAATTGACGCACTTAATCGCCATCCCCCAATTGGGTGTCTTTTTTTGGTTTCTGGCTTCGCCTGTGAGCTAAAGACCTACTACGGCAGCTTCCACAATTCCAATAAGGAAAGCCCTGCTGACCACCTTTGCGACTTACAAGGAAATCTCCCTCGCACTTTTGCTCGCGGTAGCTTTCCCCTGGGATACCCAAAATACTCGTATATATCGTCCACATTTGAACCTCTGGGCTTTGAGTCACTTTTCTCGTTAAGCTCCCCTTTTCGTCCCGTCTTCGTCTGGCCCCCAATTCGCCGGATAACATCTCCGAGACTTTGACATCAGTCGTCGGCCACACCTCAACAACACCGACCACACACTCCCCTTGACGATATTTCCACTCCTCCCCGGAACCGACGTTGTCTCTGCAATTCACCCATTCTTCGTCGCTATTCCCTCAAAAAAAAGCAGGTATCCGAGCCAATTGCTTAGATCTACACCTGCTTGTCACCTGGTCCCGTTTATCTGAATCGGATCAGCATTGCACTAGTCTGTCTAGACCAAAGGTACGTCGTTCGTCCGTCCGCGTCTACGGATTCTTCCCGCTCGCATTGCACGCTCCCCCTGCCCTTCTCTTATCAGTACGCCATTTGTACGAGCGGTCCGGCGGTGAAGCTTAATGCTCTCCCGTTGCTCTCTCAATTCCCTGCGTTTCCTAGAGATAGCACCTGCGCCTCCTGGCTCGGCTCCGTGTTCTCAACCTTGCATTTCCCACGCGCGTCCTAGAGAAGCAAGCCGCTCGCTCTAGATCACACGAGGATTCACCGATCCCGGTTTCTGTAGCGAGCGCCCGCCGAGCTGTATTGCCAGCGAGTCCGAGTCTGACTCACCTCATCATGTAACTCTCCTGGTTGCTGCGATGTGTTGTTGCTGCGTCCTTCGAACTACTTAGACCCCCGGGTCGCCTACTCTGTTTCCCAGGCCCTCTTCTCCTGTTCACATACTCAATCCCATCATTTCCCTACCCTATGCTGTTTTGTTGATTCGACGCCCGCAAAAAAAAACATGTTGGCCTTGTCCGTCAATACTGACCTTCCCGCCATGGATAGGTTTCCGCCCTACGAGGAACCCACCGAGGAGATTAACAGCATTATGGCAACCGCTGCCCCCCCTCGTAATAAGGTGCTGGGTCAGGTCCAGGCCGACTCTGCGGAGAGCAGCCGCGGCCCTTCTCCCCAGCCAACACATTTCAGCGTCCCCATGGCTGCCCGCGCGAACGGCAACGGACACAGAGTCCTGCGCTCAGCGACAGTCGGCTACGTTGCGCCTACTTTTGTTGGCAAGACCGAGCAGATGGACCAAGGTGAGTTTGGCACATTGGATAACTAAATCATCGCTATTGAATAGTTCTGATTCTCGTCTTAGTCCGCGGAATCATCAAAACCAACGGCTGGATCCCGGAAGCCCTCGTTGAAGAGCAGGTCTCTTGGTTCTACAACGACCTCGGTATTGACGATGTCTACTTCAAGATTGAGGTCCCTGAGGTGATTGCTAGTCAGATCACCTCCCTTTACGCCGCGAAGGTTGCGGCCTTCGCTCGCGAGGACAAGCGCGAAGAGATCAGACTCGACATGGAGGCTCCTGACCACGCCATCTACATCGACACCAGCGAACCCGGCAAGACTTCCACCAGCGGCCCGCGCTACGAACAGAGACTCGAGGCCAAGTACCTGGATCACACCGGAAAGTCCAAGTTCCGCGTCGAGACCTTCCGCTCTCCCGGTGTTCTGGGAGCGTCGCCGGCGTCAAAGGCCACTCTGCGCTGCTACTTCGTCTACCAATGTCTTTTCAAGCAGAGCCCCGAGACGACTGACCCCAACGAGACTCGTCTCGAGGTCATTGCCGACCACGGCTTCCTCCAAAAGGCGACCAACAACACCAAGCAGATTTACCAGGAGATTATCGAGGTCGCTGTGAACCGAACCGGTCCCGTTATTGAAGTCTTCGACATTGAGGACTCTGCTGAGAAGCGTCTTGTCATTGCTTTCCGCTCTCGCACCGCTCGCGGCCTGTTCTCCGCACTTTCTGATCTGTACCACTACTACGGCGTCACTAGCTCCAGAAAGTACGTGGAGCAGTTCGCTAACGGTATTACGGTCATGAGTATCTATCTCCGCCCTGCCATGAACATTGAGGGCAACTACCCGTCTCTGGACCAGTCCATCCACCAGATCACCAAGGAGATTTCTCTCCTGTACTGCTTGCCCCAGAACAAGCTGCACTCCCTCTTTACCTCTGGTGAGCTCAGTCTCCAGGAGACTGTCTACGGACACTGCGTCTGGGTGTTTATCCAGCACTTCCTGAACCGTCTCGGTTCCGAATATGTCTCTCTGTCCGAGATCTTGGACACCAAGAACCAGACCCACACAGCACTTCTTTCCAAGCTCAAGCGCCGTCTGAGAACGGAGACCTTCACTCCTGACTACATCCTGGAAATCATTCAGTCGTACCCCGGCTTGGTTCGTATTCTGTACGCTTCCTTCGCTTCGGTGCACCTCGCCGTCGGTCCCGATTTCGACCGCCACTTTATTGCTCCTACCCCCGCCATTGAGGTCCTGAGCGACGCGAAGCTCAAGGAGCGCATCACTCGCGATGTGTCCAACGAGCACGAGGAGATGGTCATGACTGCTTTCCGGGTCTTCAACAACGCCATCCTGAAGACGAACTACTTCACCCCTACCAAGGTTGCTCTCAGTTTCCGTCTGGACCCCGCTTTCCTGCCGGAGATCGAGTATCCCAAGCGCCTTTACGGCATGTTCCTGGTCATCGGCGCCGAATCTCGTGGTTTCCACCTGCGTTTTAAGGACATTTCTCGTGGCGGTATTCGTATCGTCAAGTCCCGCAGCAAGGAAGCGTACAGCATCAACGCTCGCAACCTGTTTGACGAGAATTACGGTCTTGCTAGCACCCAGCAGCGCAAGAACAAGGATATTCCCGAAGGCGGTTCCAAGGGTGTCATTCTTCTTGACCCCAAGATGCAGGACCGCGCCAAGGAGGCTTTCGAAAAGTACATCGACAGTATCCTTGATCTCCTGCTGCCTGCTACCTCCCCGGGTATCAAGAATCCCCTGGTGGACTTGTACGGCAAGGAGGAGATCCTCTTCATGGGCCCTGACGAGAATACTGCTGACCTCGTTGACTGGGCTACTGAGCATGCTCGCGCCCGTGGTGCGCCTTGGTGGAAGTCGTTCTTCACCGGCAAGTCGCCCAAGCTTGGTGGTATTCCCCACGACACTTATGGCATGACCACTCTTTCTGTCCGTGAGTACGTCAAGGGTATATACCGCAAGCTCGAGCTCGACCCTTCCACCGTCAAGAAGATGCAGACTGGCGGCCCCGACGGTGACTTGGGTAGCAACGAGATCCTGCTCAGCAACGAGAAGTACACTTCCATTGTTGACGGATCCGGTGTTCTCGTCGACCCTAACGGAATTAACCACGACGAACTCCTGCGTCTTGCCAAGGCTCGTTCCATGATCATCAACTTTGACATGTCCAAGCTGTCCAAGGACGGATACCGCATCCTCTGCGATGACAGCAACATCACCCTGCCTACCGGCGAGTTCATCTCCAACGGTACTGCGTTCCGCAACACTTACCACCTGCGTGACACCGGTCTCACCGATGTCTTCGTGCCTTGCGGTGGCCGCCCCGAATCGATTGACTTGATCTCGGTTAATAAGATCATCAAGGACGGCAAGTCGACCATTCCCTACCTTGTTGAGGGTGCCAACCTCTTCATTACCCAGGACGCCAAGCTCCGCCTTGAGGCTGCCGGCTGCATTTTGTACAAGGACGCCAGTGCCAACAAGGGTGGTGTCACCTCTTCTTCCCTTGAGGTCCTTGCCTCGCTGTCCTTCGATGACGAGAACTTCGTCAAGCACATGTGCCACGACGCCAAGGGTGTCGCTCCTCAGTTCTACAAGGACTACGTCAAATCCGTCCAGGCCAAGATCTGCGAGAACGCTCGTCTTGAGTTCGAGGCCATCTGGCGTGAGCACGTGGAGACCGGTGTTCCCCGCAGCATCCTCTCCGACAACCTCTCCAATGCCATCACCACCCTGGACGAGGAGCTCCAGCACTCCGACCTCTGGAAGAACGAGAAGATCCGCCGTTCGGTTCTCCAAGACGCCTTGCCTAACCTCCTCCTCGAGAAGATTGGCCTTGACACCATCATCGAGCGCGTCCCCGACTCGTACCTGCGCGCCATCTTCGGCAGCTACCTCGCCTCGAGGTTTGTTTACCAGTTTGGTAGCCAGCCTAGCCAGTTTGCTTTCTACGATTTGTAAGTCGACCCTGATTAAACATGACAGAATATGCAGTCACTAACTATCCTGTGCAGTATGGCCAAGCGCATGTCCAACATCCAATAGAGGCTTTCTTGTGGGACTTTAGAATCGGCGCAGTCTATTTTGTTTTATGCATGATACAGAGGATACTGTATTCAGAAGGATTTCTTAATTGTTGGTATACACGCATGGGCGGTACAAAGAAAAAAAGAGGAGAGCATAGGAAGAGAAAAGCAAGGGGTCACTTGTTCAACACGGACAATTGCATAGTAATGGGAGTTAATGGGTATGATTATCGTCATGACTAGCCTGGTCACATAGCTGGCTGAGGTCCTTATCAATATCATTGTTTTTTTTTCATTTTTATTTCCGGTTCTTCGCGGCCGTAGTTGTTCTGACCAACACACAAGGTTTGATTTCCCACTTGATAGTTAGCTGAAACGTAATTATTGCAATCAGCTTGACTCCTACGACAGCATCACGAGGCAACAAGGATAAATACTCAATTTAATAATAGTCTCTGCCACTTTTGCAACGCTCGATTATCTATAACCACTGATTCCAACCAGGGATGGCGTCTATCCTGTATTTATACCTCCGAAGATCTGCGAGTCCAGGCCGGTTCCTGATTTTGTTCCTATTAACCAATGCAGAATGAGACATATAAATCTAAGAAGCAAATTCAACACCAAAAAGTGAGCATCTAGTCCCAACTAAGGCCATGTCGCTTATTCTAAACCCACGCCCCTGAATCTGTATCCCACCACCACTTCTATCTGCGTATCGATGATCCTCCACTGCAGCCCAAACGATTGGGTCAACCGATAGTGCGTATGCGTGTCCCCTTCGGTCCGTTCCGAAAGTACAGAACCGACAAAACAGAAAGGGGATCGCTGGTCCAAGAGGGGGTCATGTGAAGTCAGGTTAAGGTCCCCTAGGCGTGGGGGTCACCACACCCCTTCTCTTCTTGTTCGTGGGCCCCCACGCACAACAAGACGGGTAAATCGGGATATTTCCTCCGATGCACCGGGTCGATCGTCCCCACACCGGCCGCATTAGAGCAGACCACCCGGTGCTTGGTTAAGGGATACCCCCTCCCCCCTATGTCCTTCCCAGGTGGCGTGGATAAGTGGGAAGTTTGCCGTTAAGGGTAGATTTAATGTGTATTGGCCCACTCGCGGAACCATTCCAGGGCCTCAGGGTTGGCAACGGACGCGTTTGTCTTGATGTCCATGCCGGAAAGGATCTGTTTGACGGCCACCTCGATTCTGCGGCAGGTTAGTTTTCTAAGTGGACTGCCGTAGCTGAATTTGAGAAGAAAAGAAAAAGGGAGGAAACGAGGGTTCAGAAGGACGCAAGGGGAGGCACAACTTACTTCTTTCCATTGCCAGTTTTGGGAATACCGCCGCCGCACTCTTCAACAACGCCGGGAACATGTCTCGGGCTCAGCTCGCGACGGATGACGCTCTTGATCTTGGCTCTCAGCTCGTCATCGAACTTGTGGTCCTGAGCGGGAACGACGAACAGGCACACCACCTCGTCAGAGTCGGTGGCCCTGCGCCGCCCGACGCACACCGCGTCCTCGACCTCACCGGCAAAGAAGCGTGTGAGGATGTTGTAGATCTCGGCGCTGCCAAACCTCACACCGGCGGGCTTGAGCACACCGTCGGAGCGCCCGAGCATGACCAACGAACCAGTCGACGGGTTCGGAATCTTGACGAAGTCTCCGTGGTGCCAGACAGCGCCCTCGACGCCGCAGATGTTGGCGAAACGCTCAAAGTAGGCTGCCTTGTACTTTTCGTCGCCGTTGGAGCCGAAGAAGGTCAGAGGCTGGCAAGGGAAGGGACGAACGCAGACTAGGTCGCCTGGGTGGGACGGATCGGGAAGCTGACCCCCAGACACAGAGTCGACGGCGCGGATAGCCATTCCGAGGCCTGCACATTGAATCTCACCAACACGGACGGGAAGAAGGGGGCAGGGCGCGCCGAAGAGGGAGATAATATCGGTGCCGCCCGTGATCGAAGCGAGGTTCACCTTCGAGGGGAAAGCTTTGTAGACGAAGGAGAAGGTTGAGGGTGGCAGGGGGCTGGCCGTTGAGTAAATCGCTTCCAAGGGGGAAAGGTCAATGCCAGGCTCGTTAACGGGATATACGTCATTTGCTTCGAGGGCGGTGAGGTAGGCCGCTGAGGTGCCGAAGTGGGTTACGCGCAGATCGGAGAGGAGACGCGGGAGAGAGAGGAAGCCAGAGGGCTTGAAAGGGGAGCCGGAGTAGAGCACAAGGGTGGCGCCAACGGCGAGTGCGGAAACGGACCAGTGCCACATCATCCATGAGGTGGTGGTATAGTAGAGCATGCGCGAGCGGGAGGTAAGTGACCCATGGAGGGCGTGTTCTTTCTTGTGTTGAATGAGGGTACCGAGAGCGGTATGTACGATGGCCTTGGGAAGGCCGGTGGTGCCGCTGGAGTAGAGGATGTAGACAGGATGAGAAGGGGGAAGCTGCTCAAACTGTAGGGGCAAGTCAGGAGAGCTGGGGAGATATTAGCATTGACACAGACACGCGAAGCTGGTGGTGGTGAGCTACCTCTGGAGGAAAGACTCGTATTCTACTATCGCGACACCTGTGGCCTTCAGGGCGTCGAGGCCAAGATCGCACGCCACGTTATTGATGACAATGACGTTCTCCAAGCCCTTGAGCGCCAAAGCTTTAACGATTTCCTCCGTCTTATCGGTGCTGCTCCATTCCTTGCCGTTATACACGGTCCCGTTATCAGCAAAGAGCACCTTGGGACTGATTTGAGCCAGACGATCGAGGACCGCACTGACGCCGTTGTCGGGGCTGATACCGGTCCAAACAGCGCCCACCGTGGCGGCACTCAGCGAGGCGACAAGGGCCTGGACGTGGTTTGACACAAATCCGGCAACGACGTCATTCGGGCGGACGCCACGGGCACGGAGGCCGGCAGAGCAGCGGCGAACGGCATCGCGGAGCTCGGCCCATGTTGTGGAGATTGAGGGGCCGAGCTCGGTAGTGGTGATGGTTGCGACGGCAGTGGGGTTAACGGCGGCGTTGGCGGGGAACAGCAGGTTCTCGGCAAAGTTGAGACGGGCGCCTTGGAAGAAATCTGGACGTGGGTACATGGGTGCATTGGACGGTATGACCTGGAGGAGGGATCAGCTGGTGACCTGGACTGAAGCAGGGGAATCAATGGCATGGTTGGTGGTTAGGGAACGTATGGGAAATTCGGCATTCGCTCCAGAGAGCGATTGAACGGATATTCTCCTCCTCAGTAGCATGACTCGTCCGTGTCGGGGATGTTGGTCATGCAACAGGAGTGTCATGGCCACATAGCCATCCAAGGTTTTTTGATGGGGGGAGTTCCTGACGAGCGTTCAAGACACTGGTGAGGTTTGACATCGGCGATCTGGTGTCTTCATCTCGAGCTCCTGCCAGCACTTGCGTGGGGAGTATAGAGTTTGGGTCGTCCTCTCACACTGATGTCACACGCAAACCTCTTCCCCCCACCCTCCTTGACTTTTGACTCTCTCTTCCTTGAAGCCCTGGGATAGTCAAGGCGTACCGGGACAAAGGGCGGGTTGAGTTGAGTTTAGGATTGTAGTGGGTGTGGTGAGAAACGATTGGCCAAGTTCCGGCGTACCTTATCAAACGGCTTCGAGGCGGTGATGCCTACAAAGTGCCAGACTTCCTCCCAGAACTCGGCCACATTGTCAATGGACCACTTGTAAAGACCGGGATAGTCTGCCAGGTCGAGACCGTACTTGGAGTTGACCTTGAGGAGAAACGCCCACATAGGAGTTGAGGTGGGGTTCGGGTGCCGCCAGAGCTCGTTACGTGTAACGCTGGTGACGGTCATGATTGGCGGATTGATTGCACCTGAATGATATGGGACGGCGAAGAGAGATGAATTGAGTTGACTTGATGCTTCAAGACGAAGCTCGAGCAGTTTCTAGTATCACGACGTTGGAAAGAATAAAGGGGGAACTGATGAAGAAAAAGGGAAAAAAAAAAAAAACGAAAGGTACTACTGTGTGTAGTGGCGGTTCCGGTGGCGGAGGGGGAAAGAGTGAGAGAAGGAATGGGGAATTTGTGCCGTTGCAATCCGAGGGACAGATTCCGAGGGACGATTCCGAAAAAAGGGTTGAGGATGAACCCCAAAAGACCAGAGCCGGAGTCCGGGGGTAGGGGGAAATCTGTGTGAGCTTCCACTAGCAAAGCTTGCCTTACAGAACGAAAACAGGTCTGGGACTTGCAGGTTCGAGTCCGTTCAGCTGACTGGAATGCTGTTTCGAATTGAAGCTCGGTCGGTGGCCTTCTAACCCTTCTTGAATTTCCATCTGGCTGGCTGAAGAATATGTGCCCTTCAGCACCTTTGGACGTTGGCATTCAGAGCGGGTGGGGTGGGAAGAATGCAAAAAGGACTATGATGGACAGTGCTCTCTCGGTACCTTGGGTACCTGCAGTTGTAGGTAAGACACAAGCTGAGCGAGATACCTAGGAACATGTGGCTCCTCCGCGTTTCTTCCAACTTTAGTACCTCTGCACTACTGCGACGTCCAGCTTGACAAGCACACCCGAGGTACGTCAGCCATGCAAGGCACACCTTACCTAACATGAGTGAGGCGTTGGTTAATGGCATTGGCAACTAAAAGCCTCGCTCATTCCGCCCTGTGGCTGGTGCACCTCATCGCATTGAATCGATCCGTCTCACTGAGCTCGATGTCGACTACATAAACTGTAGGCGCCTCTATCGATAACGGGCGCCAAAGCGTCCTGGGAAAACGTCTCAGGATGGGACGCTCTGCTGGGGAGAAGCCTGTTGCAAAGTGCTTCTGGGGCAGTGACAGCTCACACGATCCCACAACGATACTACTCCATGCTAGTACATCTTTCGACGAGGTACATACTAGTGCATACAAACACACACAACATCCACCACCAAGCGCAGCAATCCGGGTTTTTATCATTCATTGGCTGTGCCGACGATCCCGGGCATCATCCATCTTCTCTGGCGGGGCAGCGACACAAATTCGGACATTATCGATAATCGAGATTGCCTGCCAACTGGGGACCTCGAGAAGTAGTAAATCACGTGCCGTCCAGATGAGTGATCAGTAGGAGGGGGTGCCGCTAATGAGAAACCACGAGAAGAAAACCAGCGTCTTGGGTTGCAACCTCGACAACGGTTGGCCTCGTGCCAATCTGAGGGAAACTCTCAATAGCTTCAACTGGGAGTCATGCGGTGTTGAGACAGTCTGCAAGCCCCATGTTCGTTCGACAATTCATCAGCTGACGATCCGAGCGGCCTCAAGTTTGCCGCTTTGTCTCCGCCTCTCACTCCTCTTATTATCTCTCTTTCTGCCTTTTTTTTTTTTTTTTTTTAGCCTTTCGCAACGTTTTGCTCCGATGATTCTAAGTTGCGCGCCCTGAGTTACTGTGCGCAAACCACAACGCAAATACACAATACATGGCTCGCGCGTCGTTCATTTAAGAGCCCTCGACGTGCTGGGATCAAGTCTGTTGTCGCGCGGTCGGTGAGGCCTGGCCGAGCAGGGTAGGTGATGCGTTACGGGGCTATCTGTGGAGGATGGACAACAGACCGCATTGAGTTGGGCAGAGATGGGCAAGCCGCCGCATTGTCAATTGCCTTGGATGCATTATTGAGTAGACACGTTGGCAACGATTTGTTTTGGCGTCAACGTCATCTCTCACTCCCTCCACAGGGCCGGCAGTCATCGGACGGTAGGTTGATGAAGAGAGGGGTGGCAGGCGGTAAAGCAGAGCAGGGAGGTTCCATGAAGTTGTCGCCGTGCTGGCCAAGCAAGGCTGATTGGCAAACTTGAGTCGTAGCCATGGATAGGGCGGCCACCGGGGCCCTTAAAGTTGGGCTCTGCGGGCCGTCGAGGCTGCAGAACAGAACGGGCCATGGATCTTTGGAGGTTGAATAAGACCTGGTTGTTGGTCGGCGTTGGCGGCGGCAGCACCAGCAGCAACGGTTGGAACGAACTGCAACTGGGTGGGCAGCTCTATCTTAGCTCTTCCCGGCATGCACACCATACCTTGGGACCTTAGGTAAGTAGACGGCACCAGGGCATGTGAGATGCTAGTGGTAGAATACATTTACAGATGCGCCAGTGCCGATGGCTGTCTGGCTGGCGTTGAACATTTGCCAGAGCATCCGAGAGCGAGCGGCCGACTGACTGACTAGTGGTCGCTGACCGCTAAAATGCGAAGCTAACTTGTCATTGAGTTGTCTACTACGTAGTATAATGACGGAGTGGAAAGGTTGACAATCAAATGGCCCGGTCCGTCAGTCAGCAATAACTTGTCCGTTGCGTCCGTCTCGGCCGTGTCGTCCCGGGCAGGCTGACTATCAGACGCCCCTCGTGGACCTCCCCCTATTCTCGCGTGATGCGATTGATGGCATGGGCTACCTACACTAAAGCAGTGACACGCCGGGGGCAGGCGGGATTTGCTCATTCATTAGCCGAGGCCAGCTTTTTTTGCTGGGTCGGAGACTCGGAGTGGATCAGGCACCGACATAAACAGGGCACAACAGAGGCTGTTCAGACTGAGGTAAGAGAGAAAGAGTGCGCTGATTGACAAGGCTCAACGACAGGGATATTCGCAGCTGTTTACCGTGGTAAGTAGTAGGGGGGATCCACAGAGGGTCCTGATTATTGGGCGAGAACCAGAGACGATTTAACATGTACTGTACGTAGTATATGCGGAGACAAAATTGCCAGGGCTTTGCTTGATGACAGAGGCAAATTCGGCTCTGCTGGTTGGGCGAGGGTTCAATAAGTGGCGTGTGTGATTGTAATGGTGCGGCTTGTCTTGAAAGTGCTCTTCTTGCATGGACGAATTGGCAAAGGGGAGGGGGGACGCCTAGACCAGTGGAGAGGATGAGAATGAAGAGAAGGAGAAGTTATCCCTTGGATTGCATCAGTCATGGAGCCATGGGAAAGGAGAGAGTGAAGCGAGGACGAGAAGGAACAGAGTTACAGGGCCAGTCCGTGCAAGACTAACAACGGGCAACCCGGACCTCTCGGGAGACTAGGGGGGTTAGGAACGAACAGTTGAATCGAGTCGATCCTCAAAATTGTATCGGACGCGCTAACTGGCACAGCAATCCCATTAATCATTACTTCACCTGGGTGTAGATGTATCTTTTCATACAATTTCACAGCAAACAGTACTTGGCTACTACCGCCCGGCGCGGCCTCAGCAAAGCCCGCCAGCGCGGTAATTTTCCTTCGTCGTGGATCTCTCATTATTGTTTTTCTTATTTTTTTTTTCAACCCTCCCCGTCGACCATCATATTATTTCCCGGCCCTTTCCCTCCTCTTTTGTTTCTTCTTCTTGCTTAAGCCTCTTCTTCCTAGTTCCCTCTTCCCCTCTCCGCCTCGCGCCTTCTGTTCCGAATCTCACCTCTTCTCCTTGAAGAGACATAGAGACACGAGGCAGAGACAATCCTCAGTGCCAATATTCTCCTACTTCAACGACTGGGTTTTGTTCCTCTGGGGAACAAACAGTACAAAGCACCAGCAACTACCGAGTGACGTAAAGACCAGTCACTGCAGATATACCTATACCTACTTACTGCGACCGGCTCTTCTCTTCGCCGCGCTCTCTTCCGGACCACCCGACTGGCAACCAATCGAGAGAGAGAGAGAAAGAAAAAGGAAAAAAAGCTCAGGTACCATTCTGGGCCATCCGTTAAGGACTCGCGTACCTCGAACACCCACTTCAGCTGCTGGGATACCTCATCTCATCAACAAGGGGGCCGCTTTTTCGCAAACCTCACTGGGTAGATTGGACCTTTCTCACCCTGCAGCGCCCACCCACACCCTAATCTTACCTGAACACACGGTCCAATCCTGTCGCACGACCAACCGAAATCGACAACCTACCTTTTGTCTTTTTTTTTTCCCCTTCCCTCTCTCACTCGCCCCTGGCAGTGTCACAAAACTAGACGAGAAGGAGACGAAAGTAATAACTTTCATCCTCCTTCCCCTTTTCCAGACCCGATCTTCAGATCTACGGCAATCTCAGGCACAGAAGCTCGTACAATCACCCGTCTTGAGCCACTGCAAAAAGCCACCACTTCTCTCACTTGACCCTTTCGCTCTTCGTACGACTTGGAGACTCTTTGATTATTTGCTCTTCGCAAACCTCCAATCGTTTACTACCCGAAGCTGCCGCTAGCTGTCGCCGTTAAAAAGAGCGCGTGTCATCTCGAATCAACCTGCACACCACTCATTCACCAGCCTTCCTAAGCAGCAGTTGCTTGCGATTAAAGCCTTGGTGAGTAATGGCCGTTTTTCTTCATCACGATTGTCGCAGACCAACCCAATTGGTAGCCCGGCGCCTTTGATGGCTTCCATTGCTTGTCAAGCGTCTTTTTTAGCGCTTCTTTTTTGGGCTGGTTGTGCTTCTATCAAACCCTCGGCTTGAGGTTGGGTGCGAGCCTTGACTACTTTCGCTGCTCGCAACACCTGTACGCTTGCTTTTTAGTGGTCGCCTGCTCTGCCACCGCGTGTGCGCCACCGACACTCTGACCGACAGTTCCCTTTTTTCCCCTCCAGCCTGCTTCTTCTGTGTCTATTCCACCACTTCCGGGCGTTCCATCGAAAACCTGTCACCTTTCGCTGACCAACTTCTCTTTTTTCTCTTTTTTTAGCATTCTGCAACTCCTGGCATTATCGTAGACTTGCATCTACTTCACTTTCATTCCTCATTTCGACGAGAACACGCCTGGTCCTCGACAAGATCTCGACACCAACGCCCCCTTTTTCGCGAATCCAAGCACCTGTCCCACAGACTGCCATAGCGCACTTCAGCAATGCCCCGGAGAATTGCGAATCCCTTCTCGACCTCCCATTCTCCCGCAATGCCGCAGACTGAGAAGGAAAGGAGACCTTCTCGTTCCGGCAACCGGATTACCAACTTTTTCTCCTCTCCCAAGGGTTCAAAGGACAAGGATCACCAGACCGCCCAGCAAGCTCTTCTGGCCATGCAGCAGCAAAACATTTCCTCCACCCAAATCACCCCCTCGACAATCTCCTTGCCGACAATCTCTCTCTCGACCGCCACCGCCGGCGAGCCCGACAACAGTGACCCTCCCACTACTCTGTTCTCGCCCCCCTCTGCTGTCGAGACGGAGAAGAAGCGACGTTTCGACGCCCAATTTGGCCCTCTCCTGCATCCTAGCCACCGTTATGTGAGCAAGTCCAATGATGGCAAGCCTCTCGATCCGCCCATCATTGACGAGCCGCCCTACTACTACATCCTCACCACCTACATCAGCTACCTCCTTCTCATCCTTTTCGGCCACGCTCGCGACTTCTTCGGCAAAAGGTTTGGCGACAAGAAGCACTATCAGGCTCTCAAGCCCCAAAATGGCTACGCCCCCTTGAACGAGGATTTCGACAACTTTTACGTCCGCAGACTCAAGATGCGTATTGACGACTGCTTTGCCCGCCCCATCACTGGCGTTCCCGGCCGATACATCACTCTCATGGATCGCGAGTCTAGCGACTACAACCGAACCTACAACTACACTGGTACACACACCGAGACCTTGAACATGAGCTCCTACAACTACCTGGGTTTCGCTCAATCAGAAGGTCCATGCGCCGATGCTGTTGAGGAATGTGTCAAGAAGTACGCCCTTAGCACCTGCAGCCCCCGCGCTGATGTTGGCACCTCAGACCTGGCTCTCGAGGTTGAGAAGGAGATTGCCAGCTTCGTTGGCAAGCCTGCGTCTATGGTTTTCTCCATGGGATTTGTCACCAACGCCAGCTCCTTCCCCGCTCTCGTCTCCAAGGGCTGCCTCATTCTTTCCGACGAACTGAACCATGCCTCCATCAGAGTCGGCGCTCGTCTCTCTGGTGCTGTCATCTCTTCTTTCAAGCACAATGACATGGTCGATCTCGAGCGCAAGCTCCGGGAAGCTATCTCTCAAGGACAGCCCCGCACCCACCGCCCATGGAAGAAAATTCTGGTCGCCGTCGAGGGTTTGTACTCCATGGAGGGAACCATGTGTGACTTGCCCGGGATCATGGCTCTGAAGGATAAGTACAAGTTCTACCTTTTCATCGACGAGGCTCACAGCATTGGCGCAATCGGCCCTCGCGGTCGTGGTGTGTGCGACTACTTCGGCATTGACCCCAGCCGTGTGGATATTCTCATGGGTACTCTGACCAAGTCTTTTGGTGCCAACGGCGGTTACGTTGCTGCCGAGAAGGCCATCATTGACAAGCTGCGGAGCACCAACGCGGCCACAATTTACGGAGAGTCGCCTGCCCCTTCGGTCCTGATGCAGATTCTGGCCTCCCTGCGGTTGATCACCGGCGAGCTCTGCCCTGGTCAAGGTGCGGAGCGATTGGAGCGCATTGCTTTCAACTCTCGCTACCTTCGTCTCGGTCTCAAGCGTCTCGGTCTCATTGTCTACGGCCACGACGACTCGCCCATCATTCCAGTCATGCTTTACAACCCTGGCAAGATGCCCGCCTTTAGCCACGCCATGCTGAAACGCAACATCTCCGTCGTAATTGTCGGCTACCCCGCCACACCCCTTATCAGCTCTCGTGCCCGTTTCTGCGTGTCTTCGGCCCACAACAAGGAGGACCTCGACAGAATGCTTCAGGCCGTTCACGAGGTCGCTGATCAGCTTCAGATCAGATTCTCCACAGGCATTGCTGGTGGTGCGGAGCCCCTTCCCGAAGGCGTTACACCAGAGACGGAAAAGGAATGGCGCAAAGCCAACGGCCTCGAGGGTGTCTACAAGCCCCCCCGCTGGAAGCTCGAAGACGTTATCGCTCGTGGCGTTCAGGACTGCAAAGTCCGCTTGCGGTAAATGATGGATCTTTCTTTTCAAAGGCATTGAGCAACGATAAACATTTTACGACTGCTTTAAGCGCCTGGTCTGATGTGACGAGGTGCGGACTGGACGGGAAAATGAAGCGACGTCTCTGTGATGGGGAAGAAGGGGGAGTTGGGTGCACTTTTTCACTTCTGTCGGCATCGACTTTTTTGCAAAGATACCTATGATATCAAGTGTCGAGTGTCTCTTAGTCCTTCACTGGGGTGCCTGCATGGCCACGGCGTTATGGGAGTGATGATAGGAACAGCGAACGAATTCATGTGCTACGGCACCGCACCAATATTAACTAGTAGTATTAGGCCCTCGGGGGCTGACAAAATATAGACAGCTAAGGTACCTTAGAGTAATGCACACAATTTTTGGACTCGGCTCATGATTTGATCGTGTTATCTGAGGTATACATACCTAGGGTTAAAGATCATAATGTCTCACAGTCAGGCGTTTGACACATATCTTCGCCCACTGTTCTTGAACTCGATTAGGGAGACCAGTGGAAGCTAGATTTCCTGTCACGTAAGAAGCCATTGGAGATAATTTCTGGGTTATACAAATACTATGTGTAGTATACTAGGCTTTCCAAGGTCAAGATGCTTGCATTCGACAAGAAAGAGTCAACACTTAGTCACTGGCAGTTGCGCTTCTTCAGGAAGGAGATGATATTGCAGCGTACCTTTATCACAACTACTACTACTTCTGTCGTTCCTGCTCAATTCTGCCCATGAAATAGCTACTCTTTCCGCTTACCATTCCACCGTTGGCTGGCACATGCTGCTTCCTGAGTCAAACTCAGTGAATTCGGTCTCCAAGTCAACCAGTGTGTCTGCTTTATCCCACTTCTCTTAACATCATCTGTTAATTCTTGATACCTCGTATCTTGGTTTCTCGCTGGCTTTCCCATCCCAAGTTTCTCCACCTCCAGCCTATTCAAGATTACCTCCATCATCTTTGTCTCTCCTCAAGCTACCATTGGCACTTTATTCAGTATCGTCTGAGAGTGCTTTGAGTTGCTTTCCTGGCCGTCATTGCTTTCCTTCTCCTTTTTTATCTTATCCCACCAAACCGCGAGTCATGAATTTCGACCGGTGCACACGGTCTATCCACACATCGTCAAAGTCTTGAAGCTACTGGATTGCCTCCATCAGACTTAAGACGTGCGGCATCGTTCTGTGGTTTCTCATGGCAGAGAGTCGCCTTCGGTATGAGTCGACGCCAGTTCGGCCATTGGAATATCCTCAGGCAGATAATCTACCTCAGAAGGCTCTCTGGCGAAACGGAGTACTTGCTGATACCACCACATTGCCGCCACCCCGGCCTTCGCTGTCAAACCGCCAGCATTCAGCTCAGTGGAAGCATCAGCAAAAATTATCGTCGAAAGTTGATAACTCATCCAGAGACCAGACGCAGATGGCCGGAACTAACGATCTCCTTACCAAGGCAACTTTGAACACTCTACGACCAGCACCACATTCGATGTCTCCGACGGCGGGCTGCCATCAACAGGTTTTCCCAGGCCTGAAACCATCTACATTCTATAAGTGCGTCAACTCGCCCACGACCACCCAGATTATGCGTGAGTCCCGACAGGAAAAGCTAGACCATTCTCCCAGACAACGGCAGAGCAACGCCGCCATGGAGCCTCTCAGCACCAAAAATGATGGATCTCATGTTAATGACGTGGAAAGCCTTTTTGTCAAGCAGGAGGTCCCACACGGCCTAATGCCCGATGCTTCTCCATATTTTGCAGCCCCTTCCTCACTAGGAATGTTACCTTCACCAAGCAGCAGCCATCCTATGAACTTCGAGATCTACAAGTCACCAAGCAACAATTCAAAAAACAACCAGTTGACTTGGGAAGGTCGGTCGAAATGCCGCCTGTCCAATATCTTCAAAGCCATTGGAGGTTCACCCAAACAGTCCTCTGGTAAAATCAGTGTGTCAGGATTCATTGTTGAGGATGACGAGGCAGAGTCCCTACCGTCGATAGCAGATGATGAAATAGTCCAGCCAGACAGACTGTTTAAAAACGGGTCTTGCACTGGACGGAATCGGTTAGTGACTTCAGGAGCAGCGAGAGATAGTAGGGCAAGAGCCTTTGACCTCAAGCCAGCTGCAAAAGCCGATACGCCTGCAATGTCTTCATCCTCACCAACCGATCCAGCTAAACAACTCTCACGCAACCTCCAAAAAACTCGGAAAAGATTCAATAACACAACTCAGGGCCAATCGGCCCCAGATACACCTATGAACCACAGGCACCTCCAAACGAAGTCAGCATCGGTGATGGTTATGCCTTCTGCACAAGATCTCAAGAGCAAAGCAGGCCAACGGAAAACAGAAACGCAAGAAAAGCCCCATATTTGTCCCAAACCATTGATGACTCCGTCCAAGGTAACTGGCATGCAGGCAAGTCCAGTCAACACGAGCGATTTGAGCGAACTACGCAGGACCAGCGTGACAGCAAGAATGGTCCAAAAAGCACCCAACCCAGCTATCCGAGTTGTGACGAAGAAGAATCCTGCTTTAAATCATAAGTCCCAGGACGGCCGTCAAGATTATCTCAGTAAAGAGGCCTAGGATGCTTTTCAAAAGGATAAGACACCGGCAATAAACGAGTTGCATCGGACCAACCCCCTCGCGGGGAACTTACTGCTGTCCAGAGCTCCAAGAAACACTCATTCCCGAGGGTTTCCATCAAGAACATCAACGTCGAATAATCTGAATGGAACGGTCTTGAGGACAGCAGCAAAAAAAACAGAAGGAAAGCTACCAACCTCAACTGCAAAGCCATTACGGACGTCATCCCGTGCCACAGTAAGCTCTTTTGCAAGAAGAGGCCCATACAAGAAGCCGATAGTGCTCAACCAACGTGGAGTGGACCCTAGCACGCTGGGCTTAGTACCTATAAGCACCTTGCCAGGTCCTCTGGATGAGCCAGACTTGCCTGTGACAGAATTTGCAAACGACAAGTATGCAGCATCTGCTGTTGACTTCTTGTCATCTACCGATCAAGGCCCTACGTTTCGGGGGGGACATCTCAAACTCAGGAGCAGCAAACATCCCCCTCCGGTCATTCGGAGTATGAGCAGTGATGGCAGGGTAGATGCTACAGGTAAGATTTACATGCTCAATTTTGCGCTAGATAAATTGGTGTTCTGACACGACATATGGAAGCTTGCTTAGAACCTCATCCTTCGACTTCGGACCGTCGGTCCAAGATGGGCTTAGAAAGACTTGGGGCACCGGCTACAGGTTCTAGATCGCTATCTCAGGATAATGAATTTGCCCGTCATCGCTCTTTTCCATCCTCCCGACCTTCCAACTGGCAAAAAGAACGACGTCAGACGCCAATAAGACAAGGTAGAACACAAGCTTATTTTGGTGATCAAAAGTCAGTGTCTGAGAAAGAACCAGTTGAGGGATATCGGTCTCCTGGTAGTTGGGCACGGGGTTACAAACGATCTGTTACACAGGCTTTGAGCCCAGGATCCGTTCAGCAGAGGCCTGTGAAGAAACGACCACTGGCCAAAGGAATTAAACCTAAATTCCAAAATAGCTGCAAGCAGTAACAAACTAAAAGGCGAAACCGAGCATCGTCATCCAAAGAGCAGATCGACAAAATACCATAGTTGGCCGTCCTTCAGCACATCATTAACATTACCAACAAACTCGATGGAAATGACCCGGACAATACTGGTACGACAGAAATCAAAGGTACGGATGTTGAACAGTATTACTAAATGTATGGCTCAAGTATTCCGTACCATGCTAAGGCTCTTCATTGACACGTAGGCTCGATTAAGAAGCAGAGGATGGTTGGCATAGCTCAACTACAGGTACAACAAGATGCTAAAGAGCGGTTTCCTGGCGTATCTTGAGTAACGAAAATCAACATAGCCCGAGTATCCAAAGCTTAGTGTTTTGCAGGCTTTTTATCAACTATCAGCAAAGGGGTTACGTTGGCCTAGGACACTGTTTGCAGTCGCACGACTTTTGTCTGAATGAATTGGGGTAAAAAGAAAGCAACTATCAGGTCTGAATAAGGCAGTGTTGCATGTTATCACTAGCAATTATCACCAGTAGGAAGATCACGGGCTCAGTGGCGCCCGATTCTGTACGGATAGAAACGGATGTTGGAAAAGCCACCGCTTGGAATTGTCGGTATAGCTGGCCAAGATCACTGCAAAGAACACAACCTTGTATGTAGATCCCACAGAATATTGATAAAGTCTCAGTTTCCCAGGGCATTGTAGAAATTTCTAGGTGATTTTATCGGAATTGGGGAACCAAGTCGAACATATTCACGCGGGACAGCGATTGTCAACGTATTTGACAACTACTTTTACATCACTTACATTCGCTTGCAGCCCCCTCCCTTGAACGAGCCAGGCAAGGCCACTTACACGCGAAACGATTACAAGAACAGCATTTGATACTCACACATCCCGGGTGGAGTAAAGGCCCAGAGCAATGGTGACGAAAAGGCGCCCCTTCAGGGAAGTTGACTTTTGGCGGCTACATGTCCTATGTTGGCTACGGCAAAGGCGGCCAGGCGATTGGATATCCGAGGAAGAATATGGTTCTGCCCAAGTCGCGAGTTTAAACGCTCACGACACCGATACGGTCGGAAGACTAGAAAGCTGTCGGTCTCATGGGGGCAAGCTATAAACTGCGCGTCCAATAGCACTAGCGGAACATCCGGAGCTTTCGTCGGAGGCGGAGGGGGCGATGGCTCTAGAACAAGCTCCGTGGAGACATGCGTCTGTTGCCCGGGCGTAGGGGACCAAGTTGGTGGGCTCGTTGGGTGTGTGAAAGGTGAGATTGAAGTCGTGTCAATGCTCCCAAAAGGCTCGGATGAACAACATCAACAAAAAATATCATCGGTCGGGTTTGGATTCATCAAGTAGAGGCTTTCCGAAGACATGAGGTTTATCGCTTTTGAGTTATGGCCGAAGGTCAGGTAGTATCGAAGCAGG